CCAATCTGGCGATCCATAGCGTGAAATTGATGTATTACCTCAGCGGCCAGCACGGATCAGCTCCAGGCATGACGAAGTAAATATCGTCCTCTTTTGGAAGGCCAACCAAAGTAGTTTCACTTTCACAATGAAACAGCGTCACACACTGCGGCCTTGAGTGAGCGGAGGCCGGGGGCTAGAGTGACCGGCGGACTAGAGTATGCGGAGACCAGCTTGAGTGAGCAGAGGCGGGCGGGCTTGAGAGCGGCGCGGCCGGCGGATTCGACGAAGGAACGGCCGGCGGGATTGCAGGAACCACATGTGACGCCCCCAGGCTGGACTCCGCTTCGTCCACGGTGCAAGCCAATCTGGCGATCCATAGCGTGAAATTGATGTATTACCTCAGCGGCCAGCACGGATCAGCTCCAGGCATGACGAAGTAAATATCGTCCTCTTTTGGAAGGCCAACCAAAGTAGTTTCACTTTCACAATGAAACAGCGTCACACACTGCGGCCTTGAGTGAGCGGAGGCCGGGGGCTAGAGTGACCGGCGGACTAGAGTATGCGGAGACCAGCTTGAGTGAGCAGAGGCGGGCGGGCTTGAGAGCGGCGCGGCCGGCGGATTCGACGAAGGAACGGCCGGCGGGATTGCAGGAACCACATGTGACGCCCCCAGGCTGGACTCCGCTTCGTCCACGGTGCAAGCCAATCTGGCGATCCATAGCGTGAAATTGATGTATTACCTCAGCGGCCAGCACGGATCAGCTCCAGGCATGACGAAGTAAATATCGTCCTCTTTTGGAAGGCCAACCAAAGTAGTTTCACTTTCACAATGAAACAGCGTCACACACTGCGGCCTTGAGTGAGCGGAGGCCGGGGGCTAGAGTGACCGGCGGACTAGAGTATGCGGAGACCAGCTTGAGTGAGCAGAGGCGGGCGGGCTTGAGAACGGCGCGGCCGGCGGATTCGACGAAGGAACGGCCGGCGGGATTGCAGGAACCACATGTGACGACCCCAGGCTGGACTCCGCTTCGTCCACGGTGCAAGCCAATCTGGCGATCCATAGCGTGAAATTGATGTATTTCCTCAGCGGCCAGCACGGATCAGCTCCAGGCATGACGAAGTAAATATCGTCCTCTTTTGGAAGGCCAACCAAAGTAGTTTCGCTTTCACAGCGAAACACAGCGCCTTCACGACATGGCGGTGGCGGCAACAACGATACTACAGCGAGAACAAAAGTTACACCTTCTTTCTTTGCGTGAACATTTGGGCGGCGTTATGCAAATCTTCCCACATCGTGACGCAGACATTTGGGGGTGTGTTGGAACGAGCCGTTTTAGGTACACTCTTAAAAATAAAGGTGCTTCAAAAGGTTCTTCAAGCGATGCCATAGAAGAACCATTTTTGGTTCCACAAAAGAACCATTCAGTCAAAGGTTCTTTAAAGAACCATCTCTTGCTTATCTTTTTATAATCTGAAGAACCTTCTTTCACCACAAAGAACCCTTTGTGAAACAGAAAGGTTCTTCAGATGTTAAAAGTTCTTTATAGAACCATTTAGACAAAAAGGTTCTTCTATGGCATCGTGAAGCACCTTTATTTTTAAGAGTGTAGGAGTGGTTGACTCTTAACTTTTATAAATATTATCTCTTTGGATATAAGACTTTAGTCTTTGCAACTTTACAGATCTTCTTTATGCACCAAGAGCTTGTAACACTTCAAAGAGAAAGGAAAAATTTAAATCGCATCATATGACCCCTTTAATGAATCTTTCAAAAAGACTAAGGAGTAAACATTTAAATCAGTTTGTCAGATCCTGATATAAATGATGAAAAACAGATGAAATATTAATTTATTTAAAAAAAAAAGAAACTTTGAGCAAGATTTGCAATCTTTTGCTTGAAAGGCAAGAAATATTCCTCCACGCAACATTAGCTCATGTTCAGGTAGGGGACTGAAATCCTAGCATCAAACCTTAGGTTAGGTTTTATAATTAGTTTTATATAAAAACAAAACAAGTATGTGGTATTTCCTATTGTAATTAAAATTTTCCAACTAAATGTGTGTGTGTGTGGTTAATGGTAGATTGTAATGGTGACTAGTTTCTCAATGTCTTAGGCGTCTGGCACCCGGTGAGGTCTGTCCCACATGAGAGACGGCCTGTCAGCAGCCCTCTGTGTGTCTCTGTGTGTGTGTGTGTGTGTGTGTGGTGCTCTGGTGAAGCCATTCGTCTCTTGTCGTCTACTTCTTACTGTTACTGTATACTTAGTGTGGCTTCCTCAATTTACTTTCCTCTCTCACTTCCTAACCTCATAACAGCTGTAGGTGTGTATTAGCATCATCAGTAACTACAGTAACTGATGTCTATTTTGTTAGCTTCTGGTGGATTTGCTTTACATAACAGAGCATTATGATACAGATGTTAATGACTTACTACTACATCCGCTTGATTCTAAATTGAACTAAATCTAAAAAACAACAATCACACTAATGCAAAACCGTTTGGACTACTTTTGTAAAACTATTTACGGTATAAGCCTTTTTATTATGTTGTTATGTTCCACAGAAGAAAGTCATGAAGTCATGGGAAAGTCATGACGTCTAATTCTTCTTCTTCTTCTTTTTTTTTTTTTGTAATTCATAATATTTTTTGGTGAAATAATCCTTTTACAAGATGCCATTTTTAATGGAGCGATTGAGGATGAATGATAGTGTAAGGGTCAGGAATAGAGGCAAAGAAACAACAGAAACAGGAAGCAGACAGAAAAACAGGCAAGTAATCAAGATGCCTGACTGGAAAATATTTAGTGAGACAGTGATGCCAAGAGTTTACCAGACTGTAATTTAAATAACATTCTCACTAATACAATGAATGAATTAACTAGGCGAGGAGAGAAGAATGTTGGTAGATTCCTTTCCACATAGTTTTGCAGGTGGAAATGACATTTGAAATGAAAGTATTTAGGCTATTTTAGGAAATGTTTTTTTTCCCTGCATTTTTCAGACAGAGGTGTGAAAGTCTAGTTATGCTGGTAAGAGATGAAGCTGCTTAAAGGTGGGGTAATATATTTCTGGTAGCCAATGTTGACATTTGAAATCATCAAAACAAACACGCCCCTACCCCAAAAGGGTCTCGTCCCTATTTTGATACCTCCGCCCCACACATACGTACGCAACACAGGCAACGATTAGTTCTGTGAAACAAAGCAAAACCAATGTTACACCGTGTCTACACCGAACACGAGTGGCGCAGCGCGACAAAATACTATAGAACTCATAATCAGTGATGCTGTCTACACCATAGATATATATACATATCTATGGTCGACACTGGATGCGGCACGACACGACAAATCCCTGACAGAAAACTGCTGCTGCATTCTATTTGAGGTATTGACACAAATTTCAAATGATTGTCAACGGTCGCTTTGTCGCATCCAGTGTACTAGACAGACTTTAGCTGTTGCGGCACAGACAGTTTATTATCCGCCATCTCTATCTTTCTGTCGCTCGGCTCGGATAATGTCCGTCCTGTGCACTGAACTCTCTCTCCTCCACATCATGAGTAGACACACCCCTTACTGCTGATTGGCTACAAGTTTGTTTTGCTATTCGGCCCGAATCAGTTTTCTAAAGCGTTTTTGAAAAATCCTTACCCCACCTTTAAGAGAGACAAAGAGGTTGGAACTGGACTTCAACTAACAACAATTTGATAATCAATTAATCTAAAAATAATTTTTTTTCTTTAATTTGATGTTTTGCATCTAGCCAAAACTATCGATTAAAAACTATTGATTAAACTATACACTTTTCCTAGTTAATAATATTAAAGGAGACATCGGATTCCCATTTTCCACAAGTTGGTATGATTATTTAGGGTCCTCATGAAATGTCTGCAACACAATTTGTTTAAAAATCCTCAATGGTTGTGTAAAACAACATCTTTATACCTTATCAAAAACTGCTCTATTCATAGTGACCTATTTCGGTGTATGTCTCTTTAAATGATAATGAGTTACTGCTCACCCCATCCCTCTCTTCCATTTTTTGTGTATTCGGTGGCACGTTACCATCCATGCGTCCTCAGTGGCTCTGTTGTCGGGAGAAAATTAAGACTCTTATGTTCACTTTTACATCCAACTACAAAATATCTGCATTGCTTAAGAGACATTGTTGTCGCTACGGCTGCTCAAGCGTGGAGTAAATGGCGGATAGTGTTCAACTGGCTGAGGGTGGAGATATGCTAATACGGGACAGTTCGGCAGCGGCCGTGGGCGGGGCCTAAGCAGTATGATGTCATATTGCTCAGAAAATCAAAACGACTTGATAATTGAGACTGTTTAGGCTTTTTGGGGACAAAAAAAAAGAGTGAATGGATTTTTATCATTGTAGGGTGGTTGTGTCCACACATTTATATGCAAACACCATGTAAAAGTGAATTTTGCATCCGATGTCCCCTTTAATATGTTTGATTAGTAGTTGTAGCCTTGGTTAGAAATGAGAGTTAATTGGGAAAAGCCTACATTCCCTCTTTTCGTCTCTGTATAAGGCTTGGAGTTGTTGTCGCTTTGTCCGAATCGTGCGAGAAGAACTGGGTCTGGTCCCAGAGTTGTTTGCTACTGTAGTCTCTCTCTCTCTCTCTCTCTCTCCCTCTCTCTTTTCTCTCTCGCACTTTTGCTTCTATTTTTTTCCCCTCATGTTCCAGAGACTGAGATATTGGACCATAGACAGAGAAAAGGAGGGAATGGACGAAAAAGGAATCAGACAGTCACAGGGGAACATGTACAGGAGACTAAGAAAAGACAAGACAACAGAAAGACTTTTTTCCTTTCTCCAGCCTCTCTCACTCTCGCTCCTCTCTCGTTTCACTTTCTTAAAGCTGAACTCCTGAGCTGTTCTGCCAGACACTGCCTACAAAAGTGAGAGAGAGTCGTTCTGAGTTGTTTATGAAAGCCATGCCATCCAGACTGATGGATTTTTCTCTCTTCTCTCTGTTGATGTCTGTGCTTTGCTGGGCTGCAGTAGGGAACCACACAGGCCGGATCAAGGTGGTCTTCACCCCGACTATCTGCAAGATGACCTGCACTAATGGCCGCTGTCAGAACAGCTGTCAGCAGGGCAACACCACCACTATCATCAGTGAAAATGGGCACGCTACGGACACGCTTACTGCCCCCAACTTCAGAGTCGGTGAGTGGCATCGCCGCCTCTTCTTAATGTATTGTGGGAAAAGTGGGAAGTTTTTGTTCATCCAGGTCTTTGTAGAACATCTAATTTCCTAGTTGGCAACTGGACTTTGTTGAATGTATGTGTGTGTGCTTGCTTTTGCTGTATACTGAACGGAGAACATCTGGCCACGGGCCTGTTACATCATGTCCAGCCTTAGACAGGTCTATAATTATGGCTGATGTTTGGATGTGTTTAGTTGCATTTCGGAGGGGAGTTTTCACTTGCCTGGCAGATATTGTGGAAAAGTTTAAGATGCTTTAGACTGTGTCTGAAAAACCTGCATAATTGGACCTAAGTTCTTCTAGGTTTGTTTCCAGCAGTGATATTTCACAATAATGGCTCAGAATGGATCGAGAGCATGTGGTTATGACACAGCAGAACGTCTTCTGCCCTCCGGCTCAGCTGGTTGGTGTTCATTTGCTGCCCAGCTCAGCCCCCTGAATAGAGTTCACACACTTCTTAGTTGCGTAATCTGGTGATTCCCAATCAGGGCTATTTGGAAATAATTTGATTTGGCTGTGGTACAGTCTTTGTTACTTTTTCGTTAACTTATTATTAATATTTTCACAATTTATGATGTATTTGCTCATGGGTAATGTTTTTTACTTGTTGAGCATCTGTCATATATGAATTCCAATATACAATATGCAAATTAATTTAGTTAAACATCCCACCTGATTTTCAAGTAAATTCAGCATTTCTCTCAGAGAAAGTGTAATTGCCCCGGAACGGTCAAAACTTATGAAAGACAAGCTCAAGTGTCGTCTTATAGACAGTCGCGTTTCCATTACCCTTCAAACTGCGCAAATTGAAATTGAAAATTGAAAATACGCCTAATGGAAACGCGTCAATTTCGCAAAAACGGCCATATATCGCAAAAAAGTTTTTACGCTCGCATGAGGTGGTTTTTCAGGCAATGCGAAAAAGGATTAATTCGCAAAACTGCAATGGAAACGGCTTTTTCGCATCTACAGGCCACATGGCGTATGTAAAAAGTCATATGATCATTCTTCAACGTAATATAACCTCCAAGAAACACTTCATAAGTGGCCGCGCTCCAGTATAAGGGGCTTTCCCTACTATTAATACTTAGACAATTTACATTGCACACGTCTGCGGTGCAGTGTGGCTCTGATACGGTCACTGAAGCTGATTACAGCCACTCAATGCTTGTGTTTATGTTTTTATACAGTCTATGGTTTATTCCAGCCGCACCACGCACGTTTCTGAAGCGGCACTCTTTGCTGCTTCTGTAAAGATACACGCATAAGCCTCCTTTGAATAAATATAGCCAAAAGCCGTCAAAATCCCACCAAAATCCTTTGCCATGACTTATCGCAAGAGGCAAAAGGTTACGTTTTTAACGCCGTCATTTCGCAATACTTTTTTATCGACATTCAGAAAATATCGCCAAAGTTTTGCGCAAATCTGTAATGGAAACGCTCCTACTGGAAGTTGCTTTGGGATGATTGATCGGCGGTCTCTAAAAAGGCCTATCTCAAAAAAACGATCTCAAGCTGATGACGCTGCCATGAGAAGGTTTGGCACGACATGCAGCAGCGCCGTCTCTGTCCAGCGCAGGTGAAATTATTATAATGCTGAAGGTGAGGTACTCACCTTCATATTTCTTAATTAAATAACTTATAAAGTAATTTGAAAACCTTGTGTGAGACATAATTTCACAAACAGCGTGAGTGAATCACCGCGCGCGCTCTTTCTCTCTCAAAATACGCAAATGGCTTCAAATCACCACATCGTCTGTCTATAAGCGAGCTGCACGCTGCACAGTTGACAAAGGAATTGTCACTTGCACAATCGAGGCAGTGTCACATCGTCACTAAAGTTTATAAATTGCATTACTTTTTCATTCTTGCCCAGTGTTTAACCATTCAGCGCTCGCTCGCTCTCCTGGAGACCGTACGCTCATGCACACTCACAGCGCACACACGTAACGCCAGGTTCACATTACTCCGTTTGCAGTGCGAATGTGGTGTGTATTTTTTCAGCGCTCATGTTAACAGATTAATAAAGCGTGCACACTGCACACGGTTGATGTCCAGCAGTGCATTCCAGGAGCAGTGCATCTGCAGCAGTGCAGAGATCGTTTCCGCACCGAGTCTATTTTTGCTGCAATTGCTGAATTAAAGTAACAGCGCATTTTTTGCAGTAAATATGAACATGGATTGACACAAAAATGTAGTAATTACACCATAAATGCATATGATTAAATTCTACTGTGTTTCACAGTCAACACATATGGCTTTTTGGCTAGGTTTAAAGGGAAAGAGCACTTTTAGATAAAGATGGCACTCGTGGAGGTAAAATAAAGTTCTTTATGAACTGCAGGATTGCTTGTAATAAAGATTTCAATGCAAAAGGAAAGGCAGTAGAGCTGACTGTTTCAGTCAATGGTAAGTTTGTGATAACGTCTGAAAAGTAGTTTAAATGTTTTGCCACTTCCTTGAGCAACTTAATATATAAATCTAGAAGTAAATGCAAAAGTAAAAAGCATTGAATAATGTGTTGCTTATATTTATTGTGTTTAAACATGTCTGTGAAAAATGTTATTACTGTACTGTGTAAAAAAAGAATTGCAATGCTGAAAAAGCATTTTCAATGACAATGTTTGGATTTGAAATCAAACTAATGGATAAATGTTGTGTTTGTGGTAAACAGCCATGGATCAGTAGCGGACTCCTGTGTGAAAGCTGCTTCCCCTCTCACAAGAGTCACCTAAGAGGGGAATTCCCTCCATTTTCAAAAATGAAATTCAGGCCCTGAATAAATGTCTAAAAACCTGATTGGAGTATCATTATAAATAGTTATAAATGATAAAAAGAAGGCTTTAAAAAGATCGGTATCGGTGATCGGTATCGGCAGATACTGCTTTCTCTGATCGGCCTCAAAAATCCTGATCGGAGCACCCCTAGCTTTGGGAGTACAAGACAAAAACAGTTTAGGAAACACTCATCCTGTCTAAGTAAAGTAAAAAAGTACATTCACTTCTTGGTCCACTGATCTTTTTGGGCCAATATTGGTGGACGGTAGCAAGTAGTTACTTTGTGACTTGTATTAGGGTCAAGAATGAAGCAATAGACACAATTTATACACATAGATGTTACATAAGGGTTACTTTTGAATCCAATTACTTTGTGAACAGAAGGGTAGCATTCAGCTAGGGGTTGTTTTCACCAGTGGGTTTTGTAATCAGTACCCACAAGTTGAGCGATTGAAATTGTATTCAATATAAGAGGGTCAGGAAAGCTCAGAGCAGTAAGTGTTCAGACAGATACTCTCAGAATAGGCAGAAGTTGTGCATGGTGCTAAGATGTAATTCTCTCTCTCTCTCTCTCTCTCTCTCTCTCTCGGCAAGCTGTTTGTCTGAATGAGGTGAACGTCTGGAGTGGGTGAGTGTGTGCGGCCTTATAAGGAACACAGAGCATTCTGTCAGCTCTGATCCAGACGCAGCTGGGAGGAGAGATCCCAGGCCGAGCTCCAGTACCGTGGAGAATGGAGACACACACACACACACATTAGAGTTGGATCAATGCCAGAATTTTGGCTTCGGTACTCTGAACCAACTTCTTGTACCTTAGTGTTGATGCTAAATCGATACCTTTAACAAAAAATAAACAATATCAGGCAAATGATAAATGAAACGAGAGCTGTCAATAGATTCAGTAATTTGACTGATCTCTTAGCAAATGTGCAATAATTAAATATACCTTTCCCCATACATTACCATTCAAAGGTTTGGGGTCGGTATGATTTTTTTAAATGTTTTTAATTAATTTATTATTTTGTTTATTTCTCTAATGGCAAAGCTGAATTTTCAGCAACTATTATTTCAGTCTTCAGTGTCACATGATCCTTCAGAAATCATTCTAATATGATGATTTCTGATATGCTTCTCAAGAAACATTTCTTATTTTTATCAATGTTGAAAACAGTCATGCTTTGAAATATTTTTGTGGGAACGCTAATGCTTTTTTTATGCCTGAATAGACAGTTCAAAAGAACAGCATTTATTTGAAATAGAATTTTTGTTAACAAAGTAGAAGTCTTTATTAAGACTTTTAATCAATGTAATGTGCCCTCCTAAACATAAAGGTTTTAATAAAAAAAAAAAAGATCTAAACTCTAAACTTTTGAATGGTAGTGTACCTAAGTATTTAAACACTGTTATCTGATGCTTTTTTCATGAATGTTAGGGTTAGGGTTTTGGTTAAATATCCCAACTGATTTCAATTTCTCTATAAATTAGATTGTTTTAATATCAAATTTGTTAAATGCATTAAAAACATTGAGTCTTTCACATCATTGCATAAACTTCACATAACACTATATGAACCACCAAACTACATATAGCATATATTGTCATCCGGGTCAAGTATCAAAATTGGCAAAAAGACATTGTATCATGGTAATTTTTTTATCGGTACTCCATGCACACATAGAGACCGTCATACTGACCTGTGAAGTATTGATCAACTCTAGGTTTTGACTGTCAAATAGATCAATAGACCATCTTATAGAAATACTAAAACATTATCACAGATGATCAATATGTAGCTGTGTGCTTCTTTATTATGATTGTACTGGAGATATGAATGTATTACTGCACTTCTAAAAATCCTCAGTGTAGTCCAGACTGCTCTGTTCATCCCCAGCGACTGTTTATGTGTATATGTCTCACCTGAACATGCTGTTGGATGCAGTAGTGTTGGGTGTTTTGACAGTCATCCCCATGGAGCTGCCACTGAACTTGTCTGTACAAGCAGAGGCGTTAGGGTTTGCAGGAAAATGTTACTCCATCTGTTTAAGGGCTGTGGGTTGCTGCTTTTTTTTTCAGATGAAGTAGTGGTATTCCAGGTGGGCTAATGACATCACAATTACATAAAGCTCTAATGACTTGCTTTTATGTTCTCAATTGTGTGAAACACATTTGCCAGTTTTGAAATGCTTTTAGTGTGTGTGTGTGTCCTTGAGCATTATGTGAGAGTTCTGGTCTGAGTGGAAGAGAAGGATATTTTATTTATATAAGTGATATTTTCATCAACATTTACATGCCCTCAGAAAGTCTTCCTAGATTTTTTGATTAGTTGCTGTGTGTGTGTGTCTTGTTGTAATTTGTAGTTCAGAGTGCTGTTGTCTGAGTATAAACAACTGATCATCATACATCATACATTCAAAAGTATGGGCTGAGTATTCTTTTTTAAGAATTAATACTTTTATTCAGCATTAATTAAGAATTAATACTTATATTACATTTGGATTATGTAATAAAGGAGAAATAAAATCTAAAGCCCATTGTAGAGTTGTTTTGCACAAGTGTGCAACATAACTTCAGTCATACATTTAGGAAATATTTTGTTATGTATGTAAAGTATACTGTATTTTGTTGTTGTTTGTTTTCTCTTTGGAGTTTTGACTTCTTTCATTTGCACCTAGTTGGGTTTTCATAATGTTTATTCCACCAGAGATGTTAAACAAGTAACAACTACGGTTTGCTCTAGTCGAGACTGTCCCACCAGGCCTCTCATTAGAGCTGTTCCTGGCAGCTCATCTGAAAGTCAGTGTGTTTGCTTATGTGTATGTGTGAGAACCTCTGTAGTTGTCATATTGCTATAGATAAAGCCAGTTATGACAATAAAAATCATCTCATCGCCACATCAGTAATGTGTATATACAGTGGGGCAAAAAAGTATTTAGTCAGCCACCAATTGTGCAAGTTCTCCCACTTAAAAAGATGAGAGAGGCCTGTAATTTTCATCATAGGTATACCTCAACTATGAGAGACAAAATGAGAAAAAAAAATCCAGAAACACCTCTTTTATTAAATAAACCATGTTATAGTAATTTATGTGTGAAAGAGTAAAAGTTAATAATTGTGTGGTCTGTCATTCTGCTCCTGCTAGTTGTCTTACCATTTCTGCCACATTAAATTAGTTTACTGTCATACTGCTCTATTTCCTGGTGTCCAAGAGAGTGTTGTGCTGTGTAATTCACTAGTTGGGCAGGATGGGAAGCATGTGTGTGTGTGTGTGTGTGTGTGATTCAATGTTCATACATGAGTGTGTCAAGATATTGCCTGAGGTTCACTGTAGGCACTGTGGAATAGTCGTAGATTTCCCACTAGAGCAGAAATAATGAAAGAGTGTGTGTGCATGTTGTGTATAAATCATGGTTTGTCAGAGTGAATGTAAATATGTATATAAATACACCAATGTATGGGAGAAAATATATGTATTTATTTGTGTGTGAATGTGGGGTTGTTTAACTACTTTGGGGACAAAATATTGTCCCTGGAAGAGAGTAAAATATGACAAAATCTCTCATTTTGGGACATTTGGGGTTGCCCTCATTTGGAAAAATGAATGAAAGCATGCTTCATGAACAAAAAAAAGTGTGAAAAATGTATATAAAATTAATAGAAGACTATGATTTGTCATCATTTAGATAGCCAAGTAAGCCATCTATACTGCCTTTAATCTTGAATTATGTTATCTGCAGTCAGTGAACTGTGCGTCTGGCCACAGGAGGTATATGCTGTTTGAGAGGAAATTACATCATGTTGTGCTGCGTGGGAGTGGTGGTTAGGACAGCCATGTTGTTTTAATGAGTGTTTAGTGTGATGAGTTCATGATGGTTAAATATATTCTGTGGCTTTTGGTTTTGGGAACGTTTTTAAAGAGTATCACAACAGGAGAATAAAGTTCACCTCATTTAAATGTTTGAAATAATGTCCTATACCACAACAGAAACATATTTCCGTAAAATATCAAGCCCCAAAATGTTTATTTACCTCAGCTGTGGGATAATTAAATCCATTTAGCATTTTGCTAGTATTATTACTTAGCCGAATGTGATCTAAAAGCTCAACTGAGATTTTAAGCAGTGTGCAAAATGTCTAAAAGTGAGCAAGGCAGAGAGAAAGTCGAAGATGTTTCTCGGCAGAATGGTCCTTCACCATAATGTGTCACATAAAACTTTCATTACATGCCACCACAAAAGTTAAACAGATTTTCTGTGAAGCATTTAAGCACATACACACACACACACACGCACACACACACACACACACACACACACACACACACAATGGCCCACAAGCAAACACTTGCTCAAACACAGGACAAAACTAAAGTTTGTTGATAATTTTGTTGGTTCATCTGTGTATATGTTCGTCAGTCTCTTAAATGTGATGGGTCTCTGAACAGGAATTTGTCACTAAACTAAACATTGAAAAATGACACTCGATATGCCTGTGATTAACCACACTGTGCTCTGCTTGTGTGTGTGTTTTAGTTGTTTGCCATTTGCCCTGCATGAATGGAGGAAAATGCAGTGCTCGGGACAAGTGCCAGTGCCTACCTAACTTTACTGGAAAATTCTGCCAAATGGCGAATCCCAACAGTCACCAGGGACAACATGCTGTCGTAAACGGACAGAAGACACATGTCCACTCAACGCACACATTACCCCTCACCTACGGCACTGGACAAAACCAGGGTAACACTTTTATTTCTGTGTTTTTACCTGTATTTAGAATCTGTCTCAGTTTTGTTATTCAGAAATACATGGCTTTGCTGTTATTAAAGGAATAACCAGGGTTCAGAATTACCACAAAAATAATTTGTTTTCTTAAAATAAATTAATAAATAAATAAAGCCTGGGTTACAGCGAGACACTTATAATTGAAGTCAATGGGGCTGATCCATAAACATTTTAAAACTCAGTATAGCTACAATATGTAAACAATATGTGTTAGCATGATTTTATTGTGGAAAAATTGCTTACTAACTGATTCATTGTATAATAATATTCAGTTTTACAACTTAATTGCCATTACAACACAATGCCATAAACCCTAAAACTCTAAAATGAAATTATTTAAACAGCTCAAGTCATGCACAATTTTTAACAGAATAATCAATGCAAGTACTTTTATAAAATTATCACATTTTGCTGCTTTTAAGTCTGCCAGAAATTGTCCCCATTCACTTGTACGTGGCTCACTGTTATCTCAATTTTTGCTCCTTTTTTTAGAGAAGGGCTGAATCAAAATAATTTTTTTCTGGTATTTAACATCCCCCTTAAAGAGTTACGTTTCTGTAGGTTTGGTGAATGTCCATGTGAAGCATCCCCCAGAAGCCTCTGTCCAGATCCATCAGGTGTCTCCGGTGGACAGTAATGGGCAGGTGAAGAACACACACTCCACCCACTCCTTCACCTACCACAGTAGCAGCCAGAGCATCCAACACGGTCATACTCACAGCGGCGTCATTTACCCCAACCAGCAAACATACCCCCAGTACCAGCCGGTGACATCCAAGAGCCAGTTGGGACGCTGCTTCCAGGAGACTGCTGGAATGCAGGTCAGAGAAACAATGAGTGTTTGTGTGTCTTAAACTCATATATAAAGCTTTTATGTGAGGAAGATGTCTTGTGTATCTATGTGTTTTTGTCCATACAATGATAGTCTGTGGGTTCCAGTGTTATTTTGGACCCTCTTGAATTTTATTGTATGGAAAAACACAGTCTTCAAAATGTCTTCAGTAGCTTTATTTTCTGTTCATCTCTGTCTCTCTCTCTCTTACCTTTGCTGGGAGCTGTGAATCATCCACTATTACTCTGTCTCTCACTTGTAATGTCTTTTAAACTAACTCATTTTCAGCTATCATTGGATGATCAAGAAGTAGAGCAAAAGACCAAATGAATAGTGAGATTAGACTCCCACCAGAACATTGTGGTGCTCAAGGTAACATCTGTCTCTCAAGAAGAGCACTGCAGATGAAATGCAAAAGAATGATTCTCAAAAGAATTTTGACTCAATACCTGCCTTCAGTATAAAAGAACATCCAGTTGTCTTCTTCTCCTATAGCTGTTAGTCTATCAAGTTATTTTTTTAAGTTCACCTCAGTCTTGTTTGTTTACTCTAATCTGTTTTGCAACCATTCAGACATAATTTCTGACTTTGTCTTTTTATGTCAGCAGAGAGGAAGGTGTTATCAGGTTGTTTGAGTTGTGTATCATTGCCATCTCACAGATACTTGTTCGTTTCGTGCCTGGTTCAGCAAATTAGATTCAGTCAGGGGAGAGATATCAGAGTGTTGATCAGAAAGAACAGGCATCAAGAGTTGTGTGTGTGTGTGTGTTGTGAATGGTCAAGATGAGTATCTCTTTTTATCTCTCTCATTCTTTATTTCTTTCATTAATTTACTGGATGTGATTGTGTTTTATTGTGTTGTAGTGTGGGAAAGCTCTGCCTGGCCTGTCTAAACAAGATGCCTGTTGTGGGACGGTGGGCACATCATGGGGATTCCACAAATGCCAAAAATGCCCCAAGAAAACATGTAAGCTACTGTCTCACTCTAACAAACAAAATGTCCGGCACACAGACAATTATCTGCCTTATTTTTACAAACAAAGACGCCAGTCAGACAATCATCTACCTCGCTTTCACAAACAAAAACACCCATCCCTCACACATAAATTGGTCTCGAGGCCCGGGTATGCTACTTTTTTATGTTTCCTGCTCCTTCCAACACAATTGATTGACAATCTAGCACAATTGAGCCCTTCAGATATACTTTATTGACCCTGAGTGTGGATAGACACGTTCTGCATGTTTTTGGGTCGTTATTTTTGAATGGTCAAATAACTTGCGTATGCACACAAAAATCGGGCTGTGCACGGACATCCTTGAACCAAAGCGGAATGTGGACAACAGAAGTATACTTTCCACTTCACTTTTACACAGACAAACATCTGTCTCATTTTCATGAACAAAAATATGTCTCACCCTCAAAGACAAAAACAACTCTCTTCTTCATGTTGAAAATCATCTACTTCATTTTTATGAGTAAAACCACCTGTCTCACCCTCACACAATCATTCGTCTGTCTCTTTCTTTCAAACATCTGTTTTACTTTACCACACACAAACATCTGTCTCACCCACACACACAAACTCAAGCATATGTCTTACATTTTCACTTTTAGTCTGTTAATTGAAAGACCAGGATGATTGAAACAAACTAGAGTATGTTCAGAGTGAGACACACCATTAAACATCATTATGTCTGGGCCTCATTTGAGATGAAACACTTCCAGTATGATTGTGCACAGTATTCCACAGTAGTGCGGTCCGAAAAGAGCGGGAAAGCAGTGATTCATCAAGAGGCCTAGGCTTGATTCCTCACTAACTAAAAGAGACTATGAGGAGTTCTTTTGAAAACCATTTGATGTCAAACCTCCAAGTGGCTGTGACTCAACAGACACATGGTCCTAATATCACAGCGAGAACAAGAGGGAAGGGATGCATTCCACAGAGAAAAGCCAAGTACATAATGAGTGGGCAAATGAAAGAGAAAGCTGTAAAGTATTTGGTTACACGCGGCGTGTTGAACTTACTGACATGCTTACTCACCTGGCACACACTCCAGCTTTAGTAATGGTCCCTCACACACACATTTACTCATACAGTCGTGATTCCTCTATGCTTAGTCACTTCTCTGAAGTCCCTACAGAAAACTGTTAGCGTACCACCCCTCTCGCTCTCTTTCTCTTCGCGGTATGTCCGTAGATGTTTCTGAAATTTTCTGCCCATATATGGGAGTCCCTGCATTCTGTGCATTCTCAGACATAACTCTGATTTAAAGCTTATGGACATCACCAAAACAAACGTTCGTGAGTGTCTAAAATATTTAAGGATTGTTGTTTCAATCTTCAAATGCCAATTCAAATGTTATTCCTTATTCATCTCACACTTTTTCTTTTCTTTTCGTTTTATGTAAATGTTTACTCCGTTTTGGAGGCACAGCGATTCAATATAGCCATGAGAGGTGTGAAGTTGATGTGACATTACCGCTGTCTCTGAGGTCTGTACGCAGCAGCTGTAGGCGAGCACTTACTAGGACATCAGCTGGCACTGAACGGAAATAGAAGTGCATGGCAGTAACTGAACACAAGTGTTGGGGTAATGAAGATGTAAACAAGTCTGGAGTTCAGCCCCCTTTCTTTCTGAAGCAGGCTCAAAATAGGACCCCTGGAAGTGCCGATGCCATTCTGTTCTCTTCCAAATGAGTCATTCTGTCTCACTCTCTCTGTTCTATTTCCGTAATTTATTACGGTCATTATCCATGAGAATGAGAGGGACGTAAACCCTGTTCCTGTTACAAGTTCCCAGTCGCAAGGCCTCCCCTCAGACAAACCACTACAGAACTCTGTACAGTGTTTTTGCTTGCATCTTATCTTTTTTTAATCTATGAGCTCAGACAATGGTGTGTTTAACAACACACTATATAGAGTGATTAATGATATGTGTGTGGATGTTTCAGTGCTCACTCTGAATCCTGAGTGATTTGCTCCCCTTTATATCCTGCTAGTTTCCTGTGTGAATTGATTTAAGAAATTAAGAAAGAAATTATGAAATGAAAACTTTTACTGAGCAAGGATGCATTAAATTGTACGATTTCTAAATGGTTCTTTTAAACTTTCAATTCATCAAAGAATCCCGACAAAGATGCACAAATGTTTTCAACAATGATGATAATAAGAAAATGTTTCTTGAGCACCAAGTCAGCATATTAAATGATTTCTGAAGGATGATTAATGGCTGCTGAAAATTCAGCTTTTCCATCACAGGAATAAATTATTATTATTATTTTTAAATATATTAAAATAGAAAACAGCCATTTTAAATTGTAGTAATATTTCACAATATTACTGTAATTAAATGAGGCCTTGGTGAGCATAAGAGACTTCTTTGAAAAACAAACAAACAAACAAAAGAATCGTACCCATCCCAAACTTAGGTAATTTAATGGTGGGTTATTTATTTATTTATTATTTGTATATGTATGTATGTGTTTAGGTATGTATGTATGTACTGTTTGAACTCATACAAAATATTAATTATTATGGATTCACAGAAACTGTGGTATTTTGGAACATATGCTGGTTATCATAATAAATTATTTTAATAGTTACAGTGGACTTAAAGCTATTTTAGTTACAAATTTTGGTAAGACTAGATTTTACGTGTTCTTACTACACCAAAGGTTTTCTTAAATTTGCTGTAGGAGAATGTTTGTCTTTAGAGCTGTATCTAAATGTGCTGTTTTTTCCCTCCATCTCCTCTCTCTCTCTCTCTTTCCTCCGTAGCGATTCCTTTGATTGAATGTCCTCTAGGCTATAAGAGGCTGAATGCCACTCGCTGTATCGGTAAGAGCCACGGCTTGTTTCTGCGTGTATCTGCTTGTCGTGCATGCATATATGTTTATCTTGTTTTTTTGTTTTTGCAGTGGATGTGTGTATGTTTGCTGTTCTACATTTTTTGCGTGTTTGTGTAGTTATGCATCGATTGTGATGATTTTGATAAGATGCGTAAGTAATATAATTGTCACGTACTCTATGTAATTCAATTCGCCCCCCACTGGCCTCTGCATGTCACAACTGGCGACATACACCATGTACTGTTCCTTTTATTAAATTGCCATTTTAAAACAGTGTCCCAGATCTATCACAGAGAAGACTTTCTTTCAGTGTTATGAGGAGAGACAGATGACATCTTTGATAGATCTTTCTAATCTATGTTGAAGTTGAATGTAATAGCAAGAGATCCAACACATCAGGGCCAGCAGCCAGAAAGACTGCAGGGCTTTTCCTCAGCCTGAGAATCAAACTAAAGTAAAGCTCATGCTGTCATGTATTGTTAATGTATGCCTTGGCCATGTAAACTCTAGTTTAGCATGCTAATAATACTTCGTTTTAATGACAAATGTGGGATGGGGGCACCTAGATTGTTTAAATGCAAAGCTCAGTATAACAAGCCCAGTATTTCTGTTATTAACTATAAAATTCCTGAAGCATCTCTTAATTTAACAACTATTCAAAAGTTTGGGGTTGGTAAGGTTTTTAAATCTTGAAAAAAGTGTCTTACAGTCACCAAGGGTGTATTTATTTGATTAAAAGTTCAGTAAAAAGTGATTATCATGAATAAAAATAACTTTATTTGATTATATTTTCAAATATAATTTATTTCTGAAATGTAAAAGCTATATTTTCAGCAGCCATTACTCTAGTCTTCAGTGTCACATGATCCTTCAGAAATCATTCTAATATGCTGATTCTGTGCTCAAGAAAGATTTAGGATCCCACTTTATATTAAGTGGCCTTAACTACTATGTACTTACATAAAATAAGTACAATGTACTTATTGTGTTCATATTGCATTGCAAAACACTTTTGCTGCTATTGAGGTGGGAAACAGGTAAGGTTAGGGACAGGTTTGGTGGTATGGGTAGGTTTAAGGGTGGGTTAAGGTGTAAGGGATGGGTCAACAGTGTAACTATAAATGTAATTACAAAAATTAATTACAGATGTAATTACATGCAGGTATTTTTAAAATATAAGTACAATGTAAAAACATGTACACAATACGTACATTGTACCAAATGATTAATTTAAATGTAAGTAGATAGTAGTTAAGGCCACTTGATATAAAGTGGGACCAGATTTAGTATTATCAATGTTGAAAAGAGTTGTGCTGCTTTGTTTTTCAGGATTCTTTGATGAACAGAAAGTTTAAAAGAACAGCATTTATTTAAAACAGAAATCTTTTATAACATTATACATATCTTTACTGCCACTTTTGATTAGTTTCATGCATCCTTACTGAATAAAAGTATTCATTTCTGTAAAACAAATCGTAATGACCCCATACTTTTTAATGTCAATGTATGGGGGGTTTTTGTGTGTGTTTTTCATTGTGGTCTATGTATCCATATTATTCTATATCAAGGCTTTGCATCCTTTGGTACCTATTTGTCTTTCTGTCTCTATTCCTCCACACACCTCCAGCCAAACACATCTGCTGTTAGCAGCCACCAACAGCCACCACAGTCTGCCAAACCCAGAGCTGAACTGCAGCTAAAAGTGAAGCAGGCTGTGTTAGGGGGAAGTGCCCAGCGTGTCAGGAGAGACAGGAGTTTGGTGGCTGGTAGATCTGGGCAACTTTGAGACATACTTAAGTGCAATTAATTAAGAAAAAACCCTGTTACCTGATCAAAAAAGAAATGCTTAAAAATAATAACAATAAGTTACTTAGTCGCCAGTAATCTATCAAATAAGCCAAATATAGTTAGTTGTCATTTTTAAAGTTTTAAAGTTATTTTTTGTTTATGGTCTGCAAAAGCAGAGTTTCTGGTCATGTGATCATTATGGGTGCCATGTTAAGATCACTACAGAACACTACATTTCTCAAAAGTAGCCTACCATTTAACTTTGTAGGTCTAGTGCTGCTTTAATTTCTTCACAGCATTAGCACAAGGAGGACATACCCTAGATAGATTTGATGATTAAAATGTATCTCAGATTTAATAAACAGACCTCAAAGCACTAAGGGGTTTACTTTACCTCCATATCTTAATGAAAATTTCAGCATGGGCTGTTCTCTGAGGCTAGTTTACAACACTTCTTTAGCGATCAGAGTGCTGTTAAGTTTGAACTTATTCACTGTCCTGGTAACACGGCCTGAGGGTCCCACTAAACCTTTGACACTTTCCTGCATCAGGCCAGAGCTTTTACTGCGTAAGTGGATGTATCTCTTGGGGTTTGGTTGTTCTGCCAGGCTCTGATGCTCCCGCTTCTCTCTTCCTGTCATTAGTCATGTTGCTGTCCTTATTATCAGGTTTATGCTTTTATAAACATGTCTGACAGAGAATAATCAGCATTGTCTCCATAGTTTTTAGTTATTGAACTTTTGTTCATGATACTTTAACTGTTTCTTATTATTTTCACTTAGAATTTGTAGCTTTTTTCTGTATAAATTATTTTGTATATTATCTTTTCCCCTTAAAACTTATTTAGGAATCTGTCACCATGCAGATTTGCAGGGCATTAGGTGTATTTTGTATAGAAACATGGAGTTTTCTTGTGTAATGGAGACACGATGATATCATGGCTTTGAGTGACAGCTCCTCTGGGCCAGTCTGTGTTCTGGTGCAGATGTTTGGATGCTTGAGGGATTGAGTGTATGCCCTCTCTCCATGAGCATCACTGTCATCATATGAACACATTAGCATTGCATTAGGAAATGTGTTGGATCTGTGCCCCAATCTAAGTGACTGGGAATGATGACTGCCCACGCCCTTAACTCGCACTCAATGGCCTCTTAGAAGGGTATTAGTGTGCTCTGCTGTGCTTTGTGTGTGTGTGTGTTCCTTTTCTGACTGTTTCTTACAGAGATGGTGGATCACACCATATGGGTTTACATTAGCACAAATAAAGCTATGAAAAAAATCGAATGCATGCTTTGTGTCTGTGGATGCACATATATCTGAAAAAAAAGTAATTTCATATATTAGTATTTTTGTCTTGTTTAAAAAAAGAAACATCTTTTAAAAAAATAAGAAAAAAAGATACATTTACTTGAGGCAAAATTGCATAATATATTAAAACTTGTTTTCAGATAATCTGGAAATTAGTTTTATTTTTCCAGCCCCATTGGCAAATATTTTTTCTTGTTTTAAGCATTAATCTAACAAAATTTAGTTTTTTTAGATTTATGTTTTAAAGGGGTCATATGACGTTGCTAAAAAAGAACATTATTTTGTGTATTTGGTGTAATGAAATGTGCTTATGCGGTTTAAGGTTAAAAAAACACCATTATTGTTTCTTCTCTATGCCCCGCCTTTCTGAAACGCGTAGATTTTTACAAAGCTCATCATTCTGAAAACCGAAGTGTGCTCTGATTGGCCAGCTATCCAGTGTGTTGTGATTGACCGAATACCTCAAGCGTGTGGCGGAAATGTTGTGCCCCTCACCATACTGTGATGCCCTGCCCGGCCAGAGCGACGAGACAAAACCAATAAAACACATTACAAACGAGGCATTTGTTGCATCCAGTGGGGACATAATTACTGATTATAATGACTTATACTGTCTTTTTACACGCTGTGTTGCATCGCACTGCGTAAACATAAAACCATGTCTGCATTTGTGATCGGAGAAACGACAAACAACTAGCACTGCTCTACACTGCTCAAAACTCGCATTTGAATAGTCAGTGGCAAATCCTTTAAATATGAAAACGTACCAGTAGTACAGTAGTGAGTCAGCATTATTTTTCAGAACACCGGCATTGTAGGCCACTCTCCCAGGAAACGGACCTTGTCCTCTGTAAAATGCGCTACACACATCTGAATATTTGTAACGGTAACGATACGGTAGCGGTAACAATACTACAGCGAGAATCAAAGTTACGCCTTCTTTCTTTGCGTGAACATTTGGGCGGTGTTATGCAAATCTTCCCACACAGTGATGTAGACATGTGGGGGCGTGTTAGAACGAGCCGTTTTAGGAGGGTATGGACGAATCTTAACTTTGATAAAGAATAGCTCTTTGGGTTTGAGACTTTAGTCTTTGCAACTTTAGGGACCTTATCTATTCACGAACAGCTTGTAACACTCCAAAGAGAAAGGAAAACTTGAAATCGCATCATATGACCCCTTTAAAACAAGAAAAAAAACTGTGTGGTTAGAAAAATACATTTAATTCAAGTTGAAATCCAAAGGCGTCTTTTCTTATTTTCACAATTTTTCTTCACAAGTAATTTCATCTTTGGAGTATTTTAAGGATTTTTAGATTTTGATACTGGAAAACAAGAAGAAAATATGCAATGTGTGTGCATCTAAAGCCTTTTTTCTTGTACAATCCATGTAACACTGTCATCACCCTTGTGTTTTCCAAACCTGTATGACAGTCTTTCTTCTACGGAACACAAAATAAGATTGAGAAATGCTTAATTATTTTTTGTCTATAATGAAGGTCAATGCAGTTTTGACTCTCAGTGGACAAAACAATTCCTGTTTTCACTTGGAACATTCTTCAAAATATCTATTTTGTGTTCCACAGAAAAAAATATGAAAGTTCCTAATGTCTGTTATCACCCTCAGATATTGATGAGTGCCATATTCAAGGAGTTTGTCCCAATGGAAACTGCATAAACACCATGGGCAGCTACAGGTGTATCTGCAACCCAGGCTTTGTGCCTGACCCCACCCTGACCACCTGCTTCCGTAAGTCTCTTCTCTTCTCTTCTCTTCTCTTCTCTTCTCTTCTCTTCTCCAGCTTAACTGGCTGTCTGATGTCTTTGGCATGTCCCTGCTGTCTCCATGTTTACCTACTCAAAGAAATCTACAAATGTAAATGGATTCAGCGCAGCTAATCACTTCAGCTTGTAGCAGTAAGACTTGCTGATTAGTCAAGCTAGCAGCATGATATAACATGGCTTCTAACATTAACTGTGGCTGTCACATGAGCAAAGGGTTCTCTCTCTGCTGTACAGGCATGAACATAACAACGAGGTTGAAATGTGCTGGCATCATGCAGTCGGTCAATGGGGCACAAATATGCTCAAGCTTTCTCTGTGATTTAATAAGGTAACTTAAGTGTGCTGTCTGTGTTATTGTGATAAATATAGAGGCTGATCCTTCTCCTGGAAGCTGGTGCTTGCCAAATTACACCTCTGGAACACACCGTCATGTCCTTTTGTTCAGAGAAGATCAGAGAGTTCTTTTAATCCTCCTTTTAGCCTTCAGTTTTTTTGCTCATGTATGCAGTGTGTTTTGGCTGACAGTATAAGATCTGTCAACACAAATCTGCTGTTATCTGCAATATGAAAATGTTGAATTGTACATCTCTATAAAAAAAACTCAGAATTGGCCCATTATTAAAGTGAAAAATGGATATGTGAGAAAGCAGAACACACATCAACAATTCTTTTATATATCAACACATTTACCTGAGGGCATTGGTTTATTTTGTGTTACATGACACGAAGTGTCAAAAAAAGTGAGTGCATTACTGTATTTTAATGATTTAACATTCACTAATAATTTTCATTCTCATTCACTAATAATTAAACATATAAAAACATATACATATCCTATATAGTAAGACGTATATAGACAAATATGTACATTACCGTTCAAACCTTTTTAAATGTTTATGCTCACCAAGGATGCATTTACTATATTTGATCAGAAATATGGTGAAACCGTAATATCGTATAATTTACTATTTTAAATAACTTTTAATATTAATATTAATATAAATTACAATTTAATATCTTAAATTGTAATTTATTTATATGATGGCAAAGCTCGTTTTTCAGCAGCCATTACTCCAGTCCAAAGTGTTACATTCTTCATAAATCTTTTTTAATAAATAAAACTTCTGATACAGTCTTTTTGTGTGTACATATACATTGTGTTATATGTACTTATGATGTATTAACCATTGTATATAACCTTTCTCACATGCTTTCTGCTTAACTGACCTCTTTGCACTTTGGTAGTTGTATTCTTGTCCCGTGTTCTTGTCTATCTTGCGTCTAAAAAACAATATCACTTTATTTTATACACGCTCTCTGTTTTAATGTGGTTATAGAGGCAGTTGTTCTTTTGTTATGGCATTGTAGTCATGCATAGATGGAACACGAGGTGAAGGGAATCTCTTTTCTATTCTGTTGTTCTTTCTCTCTCTTCCATGTTTGTGTCATACACCGTGCACACTCTTCCCCTCCCTCCCTCCTTCTGTCTCCACGGTAACCAGCCGAAACACCTGCTCTTCGTGAGGAGAAGGGTGCTTGCTTCCGATTGGTCAGTTCGGGGAAGCAGTGCTTGCACCCTGTGTCCACTCAGCTGAGTAAACAGTTATGCTGTTGTAGTGTGGGGAAGGCCTGGGGTCCTCATTGTGATCGCTGCCCCCTACCTGGAACAGGTAAGCTACCTGAGACACACCCCCTGTCGGCCCCACCTGTTCTACTGGTATCATTCCCTCTCTGTCCTCCACTTCATTGTGGTTTGCATGTGTGTTCCACAGCTCTGCTATGTAGATGCTTTTACATGCCATCACTCGGTTTTTGTTAGTTCTGCTGTAGATTTTTGCATTTTCATATACACGTCTTACCTTTGTATTGGCCTTCCTGTGAGTTTTTTGTTCTTTGTTAGGGTTGCTTTGTTTGAAGAAGAATTACTGTCTTTGTTCATTTAAATTAATTACATTTTTAATCAATGACATTTAAACAGACCATCAGATAAATGGACAGATGGATGGAAACAAACAGACGGATAGATAGATAGATAGATAGATAGATAGATTGACTGATTGATAGATTGACTGATTGATAGATTGATATATTGTCTTTTATATACACTCTTAAAAATAAAGGTGCTTCAAAAGGTTCTTCAAGCGATGCCATAGAAGAACCATTTTTGGGTCCACAAATAACCATTAAGTCAAAGGTTCTTTAAAGAACCATCGCTTTCTTACCTTTTTGTAATCTGAAGAACCTTCTTTCACCACAAAGAACCTTTTGTGAAACAGAAAGGTTCTTTAGATGTTAAAGGTTCTCTGTGGTACCATTTAGACAAAAAGGTTCTTCTATGGCATCGTGAAGCACCTTTATTTTTAAGAGTGTAGTGTATTTGTTCATTTAAAATAATTCAATTTGAATCAATTAAATCATAACTGACCGTCAGATATAAGGATAAGTAGATAGATAGATAGATAGATAGATAGATTGTTGTTGAGCATTTTTTCTTTCTCTCATAGCTGCGTTTAAAGACATCTGTCCTGGAGGAATGGGTTACCATGTCACCACACCGTACATTTACAAGCCCAAACCTCCTAATGGACACAGCCAGACAGACGGTCACGGCCAGAGCAAGCCCACCATCAGACACCAAGCGCCTGTGGATCCTCCTGTGCCCTTCCCCACCCTGCAACAGCCTGTGGAAGCTCTCAGCATCACAGAGAGGCAGCTACCTGGTGAGTCATATGAGTTATTAGCCACACAGGACAGAAACTATGAATGACATTAAGCTGCTCTGAATTATGTCTGTGAATATGCAGACATTGTGTTTTGTTTGTTTTATTTGCCTCATGTTGAATATTACAAACATGTGTTAAGGAAGCCTTCCAGATTTGAGTATGTAATGCAAAGTTTATTTACATGATGGTCTGCCTGGATGCATTTTATGAAGGAGAGACACATACACATAATAGCTACACCAGCGAGAACTCTTTCACCCCCTTCCCTGTCCTTCTTTTCATCTCTTTTAAATGTCGTCACATGCACACTTGGCACCATGCAATGGAATGAGACTTGGCACCGGTCCGGAGAAGACTGAGATCCAAAATGTAGCCAAGCCTCTGTTGTTCCTATAGAAAGTGAACACAGGATTGTTCTCTCTTTGGCAGAGGCAGAGAGTCATTAGCATTGCTTCCACCTTGCAAAACCAATGTCAAAGCTGATGAAGGATTGCAGAAGATCAGTGCATCGCATCATATTTTCTCCTTTCACTACTCTCCTACAAAATGAACTGCACAGATTTTTATAGCCTCTCTGCAAAAGCAGCCCATAAAAGCATTGCACAGCTGAAGAGTGTGGTGGAGGTGGGCCAGGTTCAAAGAGAAAGTATTTGTCCTTGGGCTTTATTAAGTTTTGTCCTGTTGCTGGGAGACCGTATTTCAAAGTTGCTCTGGAACTAAAAATGGTCCACTGAAGTTCACCCTTTTATACACTATGTGACCAAAAGTATGTGGACAGTTCATTTTTATTTTATTTATATATATATAAATATATATATTTTTTTTTATTTATTTATTATTTTTTTTTGGTGTGAATTCAGATGCATAGCTGGCAGCACTATTTTACTGAATTTGCAAATGTATGATTATTTGTTTCATAGCTTTGTGACACAATTTATTTTTGTGTTTTTATATGACATAATGGACTGCTGTAGTGCCCACAGTTCCCTGGCAGGTAGGTTGGGTTTGATTCAGCAGTAAAGATCTGCTAAATATGCTGCACATCTGATGCTGATGCTTTCACACACACGTCAATGCAGCACTGCAAAATAGCAGCAAAACTTGACATTCAAAGCATGACATCATCATGTCATAACTGCTGCATGACCGCTCTGTGCGCTCCGCATTCTGCTCCTACAGATGTGTGTATGTGTCAGTGTGTGTCCTTTTCTTTGTGTGTGATTGTGTATGTGTTTTTAATTAGCCAATATTAACATTTAGAAAAGAGCAGTTTTAAGTTGCAGTTTTCAAGATTTAAAATGTAATATTTATGATCTGGTTGTCTAAACTGGTACAAACTTGTATTACTCTCAAGATTGGTCTAGACATGCAGTGTTTAGTTGGTTTGAACCTAAATGTCTCTTCAGTTTATGAAAGATAGAGATTAAAAAACACTATATTGTTTCAAGAGCACTCTCGAATGATGTAATTAGGGAAGATCTTTCTATGTGATCAGGTCTTTGAGACGCTTTAATAGCTCAGTTTAGGAAAACATGGCTTTCGGGTGAGATAAGGAGGCTTATTTTAGTGTTTCTGGTCTATGTATGGAACAAAATGGATTTGATCTCACCCTTCAACGGCATATCATAAAAATGAAAAGATACTTGGTTCCTCAGACTGTCACACTGGAGGAACCGAAGAACCTCTATGTACCCTTTCAGTTCTCTGATGAGAGTGCAAAGTGGAACCCATAAGTTCCTTCAAGATCTCCAGAGTTTGTCAATAGTTCCTCCAGTAACCCCATGAGGTTCTGATATACTTAACAAATATATACTGAAGGTTATTTGAGGGACCTTCAAAAGTTGCCTAGAGGTTCTCTGAAGGATTCAGCCAGTGTGGCAATCTGAGGAAACCCCAGTTTGTTCCACAATTATTTATATTTTTATGGTTTAACTCTCTCTTCCCAGAACTTAATTTAAGAGGGCATGTGTTGTGTAGTATGTGTGAGAGAGAGGAGGGCAGGGTTGGAGAGGTTGCATCTCTCTTTTTTCCACTCAACTTTAAAGACTCTGTCCCAATTGCTACCTTTAGCCCTTGCGACCCAATTCCACACTTTGTTGATGTAATTCTGCATAGACTTTCAGATAATATTCTGCATCAGTGCCACCTTGCCTCTGAAACCTAAACTGACAGAGTATTGTGGACTTCACAGACATTGCATGACCGCAAGTATACATCAAATGTGCCATTTGGGACTGAACCCAAAATATTTACAGCTCTGCCCACTTTAATGCACCATGCTGTCAGAGCAGAAGCAGACTAAATTGCTTATTCCTTTGCTGTAGTAGCCAATAAATTTGCTTTATCTCTTTTGGATCAGTCGATTACTGTGTGTCATTTGTTTCTTATCTGTTTGAAGGAGCTTTATACCCACATGAGTGTTGATAGGTCAGTAGTACAGCCCGGACAGGCCCAGCTGTCACCTGGGGTGTCTACAATCAGGATGGAGCCTGCCCTCCCAGGTCTCAATACCACTTGTACTTGCATATCCCCATAAACACCTCTTCACCTCTTTTGCTTTTATAGTTGACCCACTGGTTTATGCATATGATTTCTGAAGAAGTCTTTGTGACTGGATTGATGCTGTTTAAATTGGGATAAAACAATTAATTTCAGATGTGTATAAGTGGCCTAACTAACACATCCAGATGGTGACAACGATGGGTTGGTCTGTTATTTGCCACTGTGGGGCCAGATGTTCGATATATTCCGTTTTTGTTTGTCATACTGAGAGAGATCATGCAATCTTCATTATTTGTTTTGTGAAAAAATCTGGTCCATGGCATGTAGCAGGACTTCTTAGCAAATTGTGGAAAGTCCTAAATCTCTTTTCTTTCTCTTCCTATGTTGCCCCATTCCCTGTCACTCTCCAGAGGTGGTGGAGAAGGTGTCACCACCTGCTCCAGTGGCACTTCCGCCCTCCATAGAAAGTCAGAACATCTCCCCAACACAGCTGGCAGGTGAGTCCATCCATCCATCAACCCATCCATGAAATGTATATTTGGGATGCACAATATTACTGATAAGTCTATAATTATATAAATGGTCTGGCCAGAAAATTACTATTTTGTGTAAATAATTTAATATTGATACACCAAAAGCTAAAATCAGTCATTTAAATGCTAGAAACCTCTCTCTCCATCCATATCTATACTGCTCTCTATTTCAAGATCATGTCTTTAAAGGAATGAGGCTCTAAATACTTTCTTTTAAAACATGTAGCACACAGGCAATAAATAAACTGAACAGACTGCTCAATGAAACTTAATTAGATCTTTTGCACTCTTTCACCTCTTGTTGATTCTTCTTCTCAACTTTATTTTTATTTCCAGGAAGTGGTCAGAACAGGCCACAACAAGCAAGGGATTAATTAGGAAGTTGCAAAGATATTTTTGTTCTTTGTTTTCAAGCAGATACATATCACAAACCCTAACATTTATTTATTTGTTTGTTTACTAACACCAAGTCTACCAGGATCTTTTCTGCATAACTGTTGACACAGGGTTAATAAGCTAACTTATGCAATTCACATTTTCCAGATACATGTTCACTTCAGCCATTCTTTGCTACCCTCAAAGAAAGAAAAATTCATACCAAAGCTAATAAATGTCTGCTTCCAATAAGTGATGGCATGCATGACTTGTTTGTTGATTCAAAAGTTCATGTAGCCCTTCGTTTATTAGTCTCTTGATTTTTATTTAATGCATTGCCTACACTGTGAAAATGCAAAAAATGACCTTGTTCTTTATTTTTTTCCTTCTCTTCATAGAGATTGACGAGTGTCAAGTGAGTCCTGATATCTGTGGTGCAGGAATCTGTTATAACACTTTTGACAGCTACATGTGCATCTGTGATGACGGCTATAGAATAGACAGTGAGGGCACCACATGTGTAGGTGAGAGTTCAAAGGTTAAACTACTAATACTGTAGATCTCTACATCCATTACCATTACCAAGAACTGGCTCTCACTTTCATTCAGTACAGTGGTTCTTTTGCTTATGTACTGCATCCATTAATCCATCATACATCCATTTGATATAGTCAGTCATTGACTAAATGGGCAGAGTTTGTGTGACAAGGAACCTCTTAAAGGGATAGTTCACCCTAAAATGAAAACCCACATTAGAGCTTTTCACACTGCGCTTAACCCCGGGTTATCGTCGTTCTAAACACCACTTTTAACCCCGGGTAAAGAAACGTTTCACACCTGTAATTTGAAAGCGGTGTTAGCACTGCTTTTTACCCGGGGTTATGAAACCCTTCTCCGGAGTAGGGTTAGAACCGCATTGCAGTGCTAAGTTTGTTCAGTGTGAAACGGAGCGGTGTTTGCATGTTGCTGCTGGACGCTTGGCAACAGACAGTCAATCAGCGACGCTCATGTCACGTCAGTAACAGGAAATCCCCTATTTAGTTCCAAATATGTATTACTTTCTAACTTTCTATCTTCTGAGGAACACAAAAAGGTATTTTGAAAATGTTTATGTCCATGCAATGAAAGTCAGTGGGGTCCAAAACAAAACGACAACAAAATCTTATTCTGTGTTCCACCAAAGAATGCAGAATTATCATTTTTGGGTGAAATTTCCATTTAAGAAAACATCTTCTTCGTCACCATAACGTCTAAGGATCTAAAAATCGAAATGAGTTTCTAACAGAACCAAAAACTTAGTGATTACAGTGTTTGTTTCCATGTAGAAATAAAGTAATAATTTGAAAAAAATGACCATTTATATATAATTTTACTAATTTTCTCTTCATTTTTAGACACAATTTTAGTCTATGCCTTACTCTATAAGACTTCTATGCTTCTAAATCCAGAAGATGGCATCTCAGTAGATTATATGATATAAAAACACTGGATTAAAATTGGAATTTGTGTCTTATACTTCCTGCAAAGACAGATCCATTGATAACCTGATGATTATTTTTGACAGATGTTGACGAGTGTGCAGAGAGCCCAAGTTTGTGTGCTAATGGTCACTGTCAGAACACTCCAGGTGGATTCCTGTGTGCGTGTGAGCCTGGCTTCATGCCTAACGAGAAGGGCAACAGCTGCTCCGGTAATTACAAGACTGTCCCATATAAACTCACCCATATGCACAAACTAACAGAGTAGGGTTCACAATATTTGACTGGTACATAGATTTAATATTTAATTTCTTCAGCTCTTTCTTTTAAGAATCTTTTATTATCAATTATTTATTTTGTGGACATGTTAGAAAAGAAGAAACATGGCCCGTTTGGAGTTTTGAAGGTCTGTATTTTTCTTCGTGAGCCATTACCAGTCCTCTCCTCCACTTTCTTGGCTCTTATTTTGATCCAGACAGATCAGCACTCATATGAAGTCTGCTTTTGGTCTTGAACCGCAATGTGGTCGTCTTAATACAGGCACAGCTCTGTCTCTTTCTCAACTCCAAACACATCCTGTGTGTGTCATTAGCTGGTTTTCAGAGTTTGCAGACGAGGTAGAAACCACCTCCCTGTGACACACTTTGAGGTTTGTGGAGGAAGAGGAGAGGTATTATCGTACCCTCAACCGAGTCACCCAAATACCTCAGCACTGCTGCAGATGAGGAAATGTTCACGGTACTTGGAAAACACGTCTTCTCATATTAGGAAATCCAGCGTACAAGATATCCGGAAACTTCTGCCCAGAGTTACTCATTACATCCATTTAAACTGATATGGCCAGCACATTGGTTCCCTTTCGTGGAACTTCGAACTGCGTCCTCTAGGGGTCGCTATGGGGAACGCCTCGTCGTGACCCGTGTCTGAAGCCTACATTGAAAAAACACCAACTTGTTTGGCCGGCGACAGCCATGACGTCACTACCGTCGCAACTAGTACAAAATAGGCGCCGGTAGCGCACATCATCACTTTCTTCGTCTTCACTGACCGTTCTGTTTGAAGCGTGCATTCCAAAAGCAAAGTAAGACTATTTCTTTTCCTACTATGGCGAGCACTAGCGGAGCGTTTAGAAAGTGTGTACATCCGTGCCAGCGGTTCCTGACACCCGATGATTCACACGATCTATGCGTTGTTTGTTTGGGCGAGGAGCACGCACGCGATGTCTTCGAGGAGGCAATCTGCGTGCATTGCGAGAGCTTTTCGCTGAAAAAGTACACATTTAGGAATGTGTCCCACCTTAATTCCGCAATTGGGAATTTGTCAAACTGCTAAGGAATGGGGAGTGTCAGCTCTTTAATGCAGTTATTTGTTTGCTCAACCCAGTCTATGAGACAGAAATTATTTCTTTTTTGATCTAGATTGATTTTACTCTTTGATTAAGCATGATAATGGCATTTTCTTTACTTTTTAGTAAAGACCACTTTTTATAAGCAGAAATGCAATCACAAGCCAGATTTGCATCTATATCTCTCATTTGAGCACCTCAGTGTACCCATAACACTGCTAAACCACAGCCTCCAGGCTTCTTTGTAAATTTGTGGTTATTGAATTCTAGTTCTAAATAGGTTGGAAATTTGTTATGGGAGCTTAAACCTCAATATGTGACCTTGTAAGTCAAAGAACATTGTAAAACATTGTTTTAAGTGTTGAAAATGTGTCCTTGTAAATACAGCTGTCTGCGTTAATGTAAAGCTCTTAAAAAATCTGTTGTGGTTGTGATTAGGGGATGTGTTTTCACACTAACTGCTTTAATGTAACACATCCATTCAGTGTTGAGATGAAGTGTCTTTGGCAGCCGTTGGAAGCAGTAATAAAGGTGAATGGATGGTTGAACATGTAGAAGGAAAAAGGCATGCTGCCATCATACATCATGGCATCGCTATCAGAATGGTTTCACAGTTAAGATGCTTTACTTTGAGTAACTTCATTAATAAAGGTGTAGCAGAGAGATGGAGAACAAAATGAGCTTTCCTGCACCTAAATCGATTGTTTCCTGTTCTCCTCGCAGTAGGACAGCAACGACACCTATCCATAACAACAGATCCTCCGATCAAACCTTCACAGCTGACACAAGTAGACTGACCACTGGCTGCATGGATATCATGAATTCATATTTGATTTTGAATCAGTCTGTTCATTTCTGCTTGTGTCTATGTAGATATCGATGAATGCCAGGATGGGAGAGTTTGTCCGTCCGGTCTCTGCTATAACACTCTGGGCTCTTTCATGTGTTCTCCTTGTCCAGATGGGTTTGAAGGGAGAAATGGCCAATGTGTTGGTAAGAAGCCTTTTTTTGTTGTTTGCTTTTATACAATGATATGTGTTTAGCACAGCTACTTTTTAGAAAAATGAGGGGGCCTTTATAAAGTTTAGTTTAGTTTAACTTTATTGTCTGTCCAGATTTCCTGAACAGAAATTAATCTTTGACACTGGCATAGAAAATGCATCCTAACAGATAATACTATACATTCACATATCACATAACAAAAAAAAAAACATAAAATTAATACAATACAATATATATATGTATGCCACACATATGCATACACGTGTACACACACCTACCCAGAAAGATACCTCATGATAATACCTCAATTAATAATTTGGTTTAAAATAGTCACCGCCAATGGTACAAATGATCTTTTATATAGGTTATTTTTAGCCAGCGGTATACGCAGCCTGCGCCCTGAAGGAAGGGCCTCAAAGCAGGAATGAAGTGGATGAGTTTGAAATGCGACCCATCTTCAGATGTATTGTGTGTGTGACCTTCTCTGCAGATATAAATGAGTGTTTGGATGAAAAAGTATGCGCTCATGGTCAGTGCTCCAATCAGGAGGGCTATTTCATTTGCACGTGTGAAGAAGGTTTCTCGCTCACACATGACGGCAAGGCCTGCATAGGTACTCTCCATCCACAGTTCAGCAGCTTTTAGTATTTTTCAAAGATTTTTTTGTCTCTCATAATCATAAAATGCAAGTGAGCAAACTGCAATTTTGTGTGTGTGTCAGACATTGACGAATGCCAGGATGACAGCGTGTGCATCCAAGGTCACTGTCAGAATACAGAGGGGTCGTTTATCTGCAACTGTGAGCCCGGCTTTATATTGTCCTCCACAGGAGATCAATGTAACGGTACGAGAGTGCATGTGTGTGTTATATGTAATTGTGTATTCATATTAAAGGCATCTGGGATTGATTCTGTGTGCAATGTTGAAATATTCTGATGTTTACAGATGTGGACGAGTGTTTGGAGTTACCTCAGACCTGTGATAGTGTGGGACAGTGCGTCAATATCTTGGGATCTTACCAGTGCAACTGTCCACTGGGATATAGACAAGTTAACGTCACCAGCTGCCACGGTGAGACAATTCATCTCACACACATACATACAGAGACTGTGTTCTAGAATAGCATACTAGCATACAACTCTTACTGTTTCTACAGTATGTAGTATGTATAATGTGCTTTTTGTGAATTTTCTGTGTTCTTAAAGCACCTGGATGAGCAACTACATTTGCCAAAATGGAAGAGTCCTGCTGAAAGAAACCCAGCATTTAGCTGCTCTGTTGATTGGTTTTAGGAAGTTTTTTGGGGACTTTTCCAAAAAGCTGATAAGGACAGGAAACCAGCTGGCCGCCCAGCTAAATTCCAACTTGCTAGGAGTCTAGCTAGACCAGCTTGGCCATTCTGGGTGATCATCTTAAACCAACTAAGACCAGAAAACCAACTTAGACTGGTTTAAGCAGGTTTTTACAGCAGGCAGCACACTGCTTAGAATACTGTTACTGATTTCACTGATTTCATCCCTCAAATCTTGTAGATGTTGATGAGTGTGAGGATGAGACACAACTGTGCGTCCCCAACGGAAAGTGTTTGAACACAGAGGGTTTGTTTCTGTGTGAGTGTGATGCCGGCTTTGTGTCCACCAGGGATCCACCTGGCTGTGAGGGTACGTACACGCATATTCTCTCATCGACGCATCCTGCTGTGGTTTGTCCTGATTCTCAGCAGTGCTGTGTTGAGGCAAATATGATGTTTAGGCAAAATTAATCTGTTGCTTTACTGAAAAGCCCCAGTCTTTGGCAGCACAAGAGAGAGTGAAAGAAATAAAGGGATTGTGTGTCTAATGGGTTTTACATACGAGCCAATGTTATTTTTCCTCTGTGTGTATGTGCTCCTGGGGCCCAATGAGGTCCCAGAGTTGTTTTAAATGCCCCGTCCAGCAGTAAAATGGGGAGAAGGAAGCATTTGAGCTGAATGTCTAGACAAAGAAAATATATTACATAAAATGACCTTCTCAAAACCAATGTGTGTGTGTGCGCGGGCTTTTTCAGATGTAGATGAATGTGTGGATGGCAGCAGATGTGTAAATGGTACCTGTTCAAACACAGAGGGCTCATATATCTGCCATTGTGAAATAGGCTACCGCCTGGAGCCGACCAATCAGACGTGCCAGGGTAAAAGCCTAGAATCCAAAACAATTTGCTTTTTCATCACCCTCCACGCAGAAGCTCTTTGTTGATTGGTTAATTAGTGTGTTGATTGGTTGGTTGTGCTGTCTGTCAGATATTGATGAGTGTGCTGACTTGGCGACGTCTATTTGTGGGGTTTGGGCCTGTCACAACACACCGGGCTCTTACCGATGTGAGGTGCCCTGTCCACCTGGCCTTTCCCGAGGCGAACACAGCGTCTGCATTGGTGAGTGCCCACAGGCACCAGCTTCAGCTATGATGTCACCACCTTAGCTCCACCCAGCTCACATTGTTGTACTGCACATCTCCCTATTCTGGTTCTCATCAGAGCTGTTTGTTCGTCTCTTATACATTTGCTAATTAACACTGCAGACTGCAATTATGTTTCCAATCAGACATACTCATACTCATTTCATCTTCATTCAGGTGCTGTTTTTGTTAATATACACTACTGTTTGACAAATTTGGGACCAGTTAATTAATACTTTGAATCAGAAAGAATGCATTTAATTGCTCTAAAGAGACAGTAAAGACATTTTAATGTTACAACGGATTTCTATATCAAATAAATGCAGTTCTGTTGAACTTTCTATTCATCAAAGAAAGCCTGGGGGAAAAAACTGTATCACGGTTTCCACAAAAGCAGCACAACTGTTTTCAGCATTGGTGATAATAAGAAATGTTTCTTGAGCAGCAAATCAGCATATTAGAAAGATTTCTGAAGGCTCATGTCGCCTCTGGCTTGCTTAGTTGGGGACACTTCATTTCCAGCGTTATCGTTGACATAATTGCAAAGATATTATTTAAACTGAACTGAGCTGGATGTTGACATCACTGAATTCAATGATGAACTGTCTTTAACTGAAAAACGAGTGTTTACTATTGTCATTTTGCATTATTGACACTATTTTCCTAATTAATGCTGTTCAGTTGCTTTGTCACAATCTGTATTGTTAAAAGCGCTATATAAATAAAGGTGACTTGACTTGACTTGACTCATGTGACACTGAAGACTGGTGTAATGGCTGCTGAATATTCAGCTTTGCCGTCACAGAAATAAATTCCATAATACAATATATTCAAATAGAAAACAGATATTTTATATTTAGTAATATTTCACAGTATTACTGTTTTTACTGTATTTTTGATCAAATAAATGCAGCCTTGATGAGCATAAGAGACTTCTTTCAAGAATGTTAAAAAAAAACTTTTGAATAGTAGTGTATGTGATTTTTTTTTAATCTCTCCTGTTGTGTTCTTTCTGTCATCCATTCATCTCTGCCCAGATCAGCACACAAAGAGCTCTAGCATCTCCCGCTTTCTGTATCATTGTCTCTCCCTCTCTCATTTTAGATGTGGATGAGTGTTCTCTGAATGAGAATACCTGTGGAAGTCATGGTGTTTGTCAGAATACAATAGGCTCCTTCAGCTGCCAGTGCGACCCGGGATTCAAGGACTCTCAAGATGGGCAGGGCTGTGTGGGTATGTATTTTCCCTTCTTAGTTTCTGTTATTTTCATTCCACAATTTAAAAATAGACTCAAAATTGACCGTATGCAGTGAATTATCACTAATAGAAACCTAACTTAAACTTGACAACTGAGGTGTTGTCATTGCTTCTTGTTAAAATGTTCATCAAAAAAATAAAAAATTCTGTCATTATTTACAGTACTCACCTTCATGTCATTTAAAACCGGCATGACTTAGTTTTTTCCTTTCAAACACAAATAGAAATATTTTAGACTTCCACATACTCAAATGTTTTGTGATCAAACACGGTGTAGTATGAGGAAGGAAGGAATTATTTTCAGCAAATAATAATGCGTAATAGACTTAAATTGTGGTCTATTTCTCACAGAACGCTAATGTGTGACTTAAAAAGACTTATAAATAGCACACAAGTTGTGTGGAGTAAATTTTTGTCCTTTTTGGCGATCCGACCAATAGTGTAGAATAAAACTGTGCTTTTAGACCGTGGATTAGACTGGAGTCTTCATCTCAGTCAAGGGTGCATCATTTTAAACATATTTGTCAAAATACTATTCATTTCTTTAGGTGTAAAGATTTATTACTAGGAAAAAGTATTTAGTGTAATCTCTATCTTGTCCATTTGGAGACAAATATCCTGACAGGCAGGTAAACCAGACCTGGATTTGAAACCGAGGCCAGCACTCTCTGAGATTTTTTGCCACTTCCTCTCAGACAACATAAAAAAGATGGCAGACGCTTTGTAGAGCCATGATTGATGTGAGTGTTTAGTTTCTTCCAGTCTGAGGGTGGATGGCACAGACCCTGGTAATGTTTAAAACAGTGAAAACACATCAGTGGCCCCCACATACACTCATAGACACATTAATGCACTGACACAGAGTCAAGTCCTATTAAAGTGATGGAGCCACATGTTTTTTTGTGGCATGGTGTTTAGAGGTCTGGAGTTGCTGGCTATTTTTAAATAACACTGTGTTCTTATGCAGCCCACCTTCTGAAAAAGAGTAAGAGCAGAGACAGAGGAAGTTTCATTTTAATTATATTGAATCATTAGGCCAGTCTTCAGTGTCACATGATATGTCAGAAATCATTATATTATGCTGATTTGGTGCTTAATAAATATTTCTTCTTCTTATTAAGCTTGAAAACAGTTGTTCAGCTTAATATTTTTGTGTAAACCGATTTTTTTTCCAGGATTCGTTGATTAATAAAAAGTTAGAATTTTTAAAAGTTTAAGTAAAAATCTTGTCATTATAAAATCACTATAAATGTCTTTACTGTCACATTTGCTTCATTTAATCCATCCTTGCTGAATAAAATAGTTAATTTCTTTCAAAAAGAAAACCTACCATGATATTAAATTATTCGATTTATATCGCCCACCCCTATACAGTATAGGCCTATTATTCTTCTGGTTTGTTCTCAGTTTGTGTTTAGATTGAGGAGAGAATTTTCATACATACACTAGCAAACAAACACACTCACTCTTAAAAACACACACACTCTCATACTGTCTCTGAACAGAGGTTGTTTGTCTTGCCGGCTTATGTAACTGGCCACAAACAACCTCCATCGTTTCTGGTTTCTCACAGTAATAATACACACTAATACACCCAAATGCTAAAACACGCAGACCATGCATTCCTGTTTTCTTCCCACTTCTCTCTCTGTCTCTTTCTACCCTTATCTATTCTTCCATTTCCCTCCTCAGTTTCTCTCCTTACCACATCCCTTGCTCTTTCTTTTCCTCTCCTATCCCTTTGTCCTCCAATTACCTAGAAAGACAAAGATCTCAGGCCTGATGGAATGCTGCACGACAAGATTCCAGCTACAAGAAATTTTTCTTTATACAGTGAAAGCGAAAAAAATTTGTAACACAACAAAATCACTACAGTTTTTTTTTTTCATTTTATTTTTGTCCTGTCCCATTAGTGACAGAAATAGTTGAGAAACAAGCTAGATTCAAACCTGCATCACCCATGTGAGCATCTGAGTTTAATGTGTCTGTAACTTGTACATCCTCTAGGTTAGTGGTTTTCAATTCCAGTCCTCACGACCCCCCACTCTGCACATTTTGTATGTATCTCTTATCACTTATTCAGACGTTTGTTCTATTTGACCGTAAGTGCCCTGCGAAGTTAACTTCACAGGATGTTCCGCCATGATTCCAGTCTGAAGGGAGCGGATATGTTCCATTCAAAGGGCTTTAAAGTGTGTGAGATGGGAATTTAAATTGTATTTATTTACAGAAGTAAATTATGTCACACTTCACACTTCTCTAGTAAGTTTCGTCTATCTGTGAAGACGCTGCAGGCAGTGGTGTAGCACAAATCCGTGAATGAATGTTCTGAAGTGAAGTCAACTTTCGGATTTCCCGTGCTCAGGGAGTATAGGTAGCAAAGAACACTGTGTAGGGACCCTGTCAATCAGAACACAGTTCAGGCATGGAGCTCTCTTCTAATGAGCTGGTTATCTAAATCAGGTGTGTTAAATAAGATAGACATGAAAAATATGCAGAGCAGTGGTACGCAAGGACTGGAACTGAGAATTGCTGCTCTAGGTCAGCTTTCCTTGCCCTATGCAGTCAACAAAAACAAAAACAAATCGCAGATCAAAAGTTATATGTCCTGTAGACATTTCTAAAGATCAGTTTTAGCCTATCTGTACAAGCCAGCTTCTCTGTGTGTCTTGAACTACTTTTTAATGAAGCGAAAGGATGACATCTAATCCCTTTCCAGAGACCGAACATCTTAACTCCCTGTGTACTTGGGGGAAAAAACAAAAGCATTATGGAAAATTTTTCTTTTGTCGTGATGCTGTATATTAAGCAGCGTTGCAGAAAGCACCTACATAAATAAAAAAAAAACACTTTTGGGTATAGAAAATGTTCCCGTCAAACCCTAGTCTAATCTGGAGTGCGTGGAAAAACCACTAGGTACAGTATATATCAGTTCTTATGAGGTCGTATCTGTCTCTTACATTGTTCATCTGGCACTGACATCCATTTCCAACTTTTTATCATTCCCTAGTGGTGCAGCACCCACACTGCTGCCGACTCCAGATGACCGTTTAACACTTCCAGGCTCATTGACGAGCTGGCCCACCATCACTGAAGGGTCTGGAGTGTGTACGTGTGTGCGTCTGGCAGGAAGGCTCCATTAGAGAATTCAGAGTCTATTGCACATAAATGCTCTCCACACAAGTTGATTTATTGCATCCTTTTGTATGTGGTGCTCTGAGATTATTGATAAAAGCAAGAGAATGAGAGTCACAGATGTGTGAAGCATTGAAGAAAAGGGAAAGAACAGAGTAGAAAGGAGGAGAGAGCCTTGTTGCAGGAAGTAGACACTTGCATTATAGTGCTAGTTTGGTCGTCATAAATTCAAGCTGTCAGAAACAGTCGGCAGAAAAATGGGGCTGTTTTATTTACTGAAGTCAGCTGTGCACACCGTTTGTCATTGCTCTATGAGGTTCCCAAAAGCCACCGTTTTGATAAGGAAAATTAATGAAAACTCTGCAGAACGCTCTGAGCCAATCAGGACAAAGCTATAGAAATGAAAAACTATGACTAGATAATGACCAATGTTTCACAAGCGTTCATGAGTTCACATAAGTTTGTGGTTGTAAAAAGTCTGGTCAGAAATCTGGTGAAACTGTGTCCCTCATGTTTCTGTAGTCTTTCTTATTTTTTGTGATTACAAGCAATTTTTGTTCTTTCAAAATTATTGTTATTATTAATATATTTCATAAGTATCATACTTGTAGTCCATACAACTTGTGTGCTATATTTTTCAAATCTTTAAAAGCCATATGATACCTTTTTGTGAGGAACAGATCAAAAGTTATTCACTGATCTTCCACTCCAGTGAGTTGTTATCTCAAGAACCACTTACCTCTGAATTGAGGGAGTGAATTGAACTCAAGAAAAGTGAATGAATCATTCTTTTGAACTGATATTCTTTTTAATGAAGTGGTTGAACTTGGTTCATGTTTGAATGAATTATTCCTCTTAAACTAGAAGCTTTTGGTATTCAGCAATATTATTGAACTGATTCTACTGACACTATTGGATGAGAACTGAACTGGATGATGACATCACCGTTTTCTACAGAGCTGCTTTACAGCTAAAGGCTGGAATACACTACACAACTTTTGCCACTAGTTGACACTAGTTGCCGAAAGTCAGAGCCAGTTTGCAGATTAGAGTTGACAGATTTCATAGAAAATTGTGTAGTGTATGATTGTCACAGACTCCAATTTTTTAGCTTCAGACTATGATTACATCCAGTCGTAGAATATCAAACATGTTTGATATTTTGAGCCAATTTTAGAACACGTTGTTTTCATTTGTCACACATCTCCTAGCAACAAGGCACACATTTCTGCGTGAGTGTGTTATGATCAGAACAACTTTAAAGTCTGGTAGTGTATGATCTTCAGTCGTTTAGTGTATGATGGCCAGTTTTTCCTCTATGACTGTTACAAAGTCGGTAAGTGTATGATGCCTAGTGTTTTAAAATTTGTTCAGATTTTAAAAGTTGTGTACTGTATTCCAGCCTTAAACTGAACTACTATGATAAATGATGACCTGAACTGAAGAACTGAATCAACACTGAACTGACCTAGCTAAACAATGACTCTTGTTTTTTTAGAGCCGCTTTACATCAGAATTCATCTCTGTTTGCATCATTGAATAATTATTCTCCTGTTTATCCTTGTAAAGCTGCTTTGAAACAATCTGTGTTATATAAGGTGCTATATAGATAAAGGTAACTTGACAAATGATCTCATCCGACACAAAATAAACTTCAGCAGTTCAGATTGCATCTTCAGTTCAGTAATAAAACATATTTTCTTGCCTGCAGATGTGAACGAGTGTGAGCTGCTTGGTAATGTGTGTGGTGAGGTCACCTGTGAGAATCGTGAAGGCACCTTCTTGTGTTTGTGTCCTGACGAGATGCAAGAATTTGATCCCATGTCGGCCAAATGCTCCTCTACACCACCAGGTAAAGTTGTAGCCTACTGTAAACCACCACAATGTGATCGACCAATTCATTATCCTACAGAAATCCCACAAACAGTGCCCTAACCCAAACCTACAAGACTACCATTATGCCACAGATTACCTTTTATCTGGACAGATGACCCCTGTGTTCCTCCTACGAAACGATTCTGAAGCTCTTCACATTTTAATCTCAGCCATGGAGATCCTTTAGTGCAACAGGACAGTAACTTCATGTCATCAGGGTCCAGCTCTGAGTAGAACAGAGGGAGGCAAGGCATGATGAATGGGGGTTGTAAACGATCTGGCAGGAGAGAAATTAGATTTAGTCTGAGGCTTACAGAGGGACCAGAGCACCATGGGCCCCAAAGCACATAAGAGCCAAAAAGAAGCTCCCACGCTAAGATAAAAAAGACCAGTATGGAGAGATATACAAGAAGACCTATCAGAATGAGATAACTGTTTTTGAAAGTCTAGACAACTCTTAAATATTTACAGAATGGAATTGTGATTTTTAGTTTTATTGCTAGGTTTCAATAGTCCACTTTAGATATTCTACTATCTATATAAGTCAACTAACTCATTAAAGTATTAGTTGACTGTTAAGGTAAATAGAATAAGTTGACGTACTTATTAATACTTCAGTTAGAAGAATGTGTGTTGGGGTTCATCAAAATAAAGCATTAGCAGATATTAAGCAGACAGTCTACTAATTATCATGTAGTTGCATAGTTACTTACTGTATAGTTAATCTGAAGTGGACTGTCAAAATAAACAGTTACCTTTTGCTATTACTGTTTTCACTATGAAATAATTCTGTCCGCCCTTAGCATTTATTTGCATATGGCCAATGATATGTTAGTAACATATTTACTAAATGAATTATGCTAATCAGGAAGTAGCAACAAAATACAACAAAAAATTAGCACCAAATACAATTTACATGCTCCAATTCACTGTCTTGCAGGCTGCGAAAGTGAATTTTTTTTCAAAAGTTAAGTGATCTGGGACAGGTTTTGTTTACCACTTAAAGGGTGAGTTCACCCAAAAATGAAAATTAGCCCATTATTTACTCACCCTCAAGGCATCCTAAGTAGAGGTCGACCGATAGTGGATTTTGCCAATAACGATAGCTAGGTTGGACCACACTGGCCGATACCGATTAATTAACCGATAGTTTTAAAATTGATACTGAACAAAAACTAAAATAGTGCTTTATTAACAAAAACAGTACTGAACCATACTAGTAGTAGTAGTAAAAAAAATAATAGCAATTGTAAATGTTGAAATTAACACACTCTAACAAGGAACAATGCTTACACAGCTTTCATTAATCTTAATGCCACAAATGGACTCTTATTTTAAAGTGTTACCATTTCATTTCAACTGTCATGCTTAAAGATGCACATCTTTAAATATATACACAAAGGCATTAAAATTATATACATATGAATATTGTATGTATACTCTCATACTTTAACTGCTTCTATTCTTGAACACTTGATGATTATCTAATCAAAATAAAAGCGCAGCGCTGAGTCTAGGAGAACTCACCGGTATCACACACATTCCGGACGCGTCGTGTTCAACTCGAGCAGCGGTCTAAAACAGTTTATTTAATCACCAAACGGACACAAGAATGATTTGTGACAAATGAAAACAACGTGTTCTAAAATTGGCTCAAAATATCAAACATGTTTGATATTCTACGACTGGATGGAATCATAGTCTGAAGCTAAAAAATTGGAATCTGTGACAATCATACACTACACAATTTTCTATGAAATCTGTCAACTCTAATCTGCAAACTGGCTCTGACTTTCGGCAACTAGTGTCAACTTCTCCAGACAGTGGCAAAAGTTGTGTAGTGTATTCCAGCCTTTAGCTGTAAAGCAGCTCTGTAGAAAACAGTGATTACTTCAAGAATGAACAATTTGGCATAGATGAGTTTGAAATTCGGTGTTTAAAAAATGGAGCAAACGGAAAGAGAAAGCGCAACCTATATTATAGCTCTATAAATGAAGCACACAGACTTTATTAGAGCCACAGAAAGACATCCGTTTTGCTGAAAATGCACAATGCACAATTCATTATGTACATTAACAATGATTCGGGACCAATATAATGTAATTTAAAGGAAAACTATGTAATGGCGCTCTGTGGCGCGCCAGGATTTTCTGTCGGCTGCATTTAAATCCGCGTCTGAAGTTTCCTGCTCTGTTCAGCGTGCAGTATCACGTGTCTAAACAAATAGCACGTGCGGTCAGTGATTTCAACCACTAGAGGCCGCTCTCGCACTGTGTAATGACTGCAGACCCTTCTCAGCCGCTCCAGCAATGGACGCAACACAGAAAACTATCGGCATGGATTTTTGTCGATAACCGATAGTTCGTGCAATCAACTATCGGTGCCGATTAATCGGCAAAACCGATGCATCGGTCGACCTCTGATCCTAAGTGTATATGACTTCCTTCTTTCAGATGAATCCAATTGGAGTTATATTAAAACTTGTCTTTGATCTTCCAAGCTGTTTAATGGCAGTCAGTGGGTGTTGCAGTTCATCAGTCCAAAAGAAGTTAAATAAAGCACATCCATCCATAATAAAAAGTGCCTCACACGGCTCTGGGGGGGTGAACAAAGGCCTCCTGTAGCAAATCGATGCATTTTTATATAAAAAAATATACCATATTTAAAACGTAATAATCAATTTAACCTAGCTTGCGCTCACTGTTGTACACGGAAGCCGCTCCGGGCAGATGACGTAGGCGTCTGCGTTGCGCATGCGGCGCTCAGAAGGTACGAACGCGGAAGCGCAGGGGAGAGATCAAAACAAAACAACGATCACGAATTAGAAGTACAAAACGAGGATTTGTAAAGAAGAAGAATGTCGGAGGATTTCGATATAGGCCAAGAGAAGACTGGTATTCCTTTGCTAAAGTAAGGAAATTTTGCTTCCTTTGCTCCTGTAAACAAAATTTGTTTTTTACGAGACTCACCGATATCTTACGTCATCCTCCCGGAGCTGCTTCCGTGTACAACTGTTGGCGCAAGCTAGATAAAAGTGATTATTACGTTTTGAATATGGACATTTTTCTTACAAAAAATGCATCGATTCGCTACAGGAGGCCTTTGTTCACCCCCTGCAACCGTGTGAGGCACTTTTTATTATGGATGGATGCGCTTTATTTCACTTCTTTTGGACTGAAGCACTGCAACACCCGCTGACTGCCATTAAACAGATTGGAAGATCAAAGACTATTTTTAATATAACGCCGACTGGATTCATTTGATTAACTAACATGGGCTAATTTTCATTTTTGGGTGAACTATCCCTTTAAGAAGATCAGATGTGGTAGATGTACAAAATTGAAAATAGCTTAAGGTTTAAGGGATTGCGCTGGCTAGACTGGAATCAATTTGTTCCTCTAGTGCTGAAGAACATGGTGGAGCTGGGAAATAAAAGAATAATTTTGATTGGATATGTGTGTGTACCGAGTGGCTACACACCAGCTGTGCAGGAAGCATTTTCTTAGATCTTAGCCAATGATTTTAGTTAAGAACTTTTGTTCAAATCCACCAGCCTAATCCTCCTCCTCTCATAAAACCGCACTGTCTCCTGAGTTTAAACATTATTTTTTGTTTTTACAAGAAGAACCCCGGTATCTCTTACCAGAGCTGTAAATCATGCTTTTTACATATAAGGACAGCAGTAGAACACCATAAAACTAGAATCACAATAGTTTGGAACATGAATTATGTGGAAATAATAAAAAGGAGCACTCAGTGACTGAAAAGCCAAGGCTGAACTGTAAAACTGCTCTCTGATGTCATGCACAGTTTCTGCTGTGTTCTTGACCTTGGTTCTTTAGGTTTTCTTCTTTTGTGGGTTACTGTATTGCAGTGAAAAGTTACATTTATTCATTTATATTTTTGTTTTCCTCCCAGTCCTTTGTTTTTCTGTTTGTTTTTGTTGCTTTGTGACAAAACATGATTGAAAGTTCATATCTGAATATTTTAAAAGGCCGAAAGAACCAGTCTGACTTATCTGTGTTGTGTTGTTGTTGTACCCCACAGTCACACCTGTGGAGAGGAAAGAGTGTTACTTCAACTTGAATGATGAGAACCTGTGTGATAAGGTGCTGGCCAGCAGCATGACTAAAGAGGAGTGCTGCTGTACGCTAGGAGCTGGCTGGGGGGACAACTGTGAGGTCCATCCCTGCCCCATACCAGGAACAGGTACTCAGTTACATCACACACAACAGCAATCTAAAAAGTATAGTACAAAGAACTGCAAGAACACTTTTGTATAGAGATTAAGACAACATGAATCATTTGAGGATATCCAGTTGAGGATAATGAATGAATCATTCTTTTGAGATGATTCTTTGCAGTTAAACAGTTGATCTGGTTCATTTTAGGTAAACTATTTCTTTTAAACTTCAAGCAGAATAGAATTTTCCCCATTTTAACACTTTTTGAAAAAATAAAGTGGTGGTGAACTCAAAAAGATAGGCCCAAATTTTCAACAAAGTAAGAACTATTTAGGCAACATGCATCGAGTCAGTGAGTTGAACTTGAGGATAGTGAATTATTCATTCTTTTGAAGTGATTCTTTGCAGCGAATCAATTTACCTGGTTCATTTTATGTAAACTATTCATTTTAAACTGGAAGTAGAACATAGTTTTGCTTATTTTACCACTCTTATGTTGAGGAACTTAAAAAGTTAAGCCCAAATTAAAGCTGCAAGCAGCGTTGAAAGGGCCCTCGCACACGGAGCCATCTCCATGTATGTATGTTTGAGTTAGTGTAAAACATGACATTTCCTGTTGCCAAAAGGTGGCGCTATGATTATAACTGAATATTAGCCTTTAGATGTCTTCAGGCCAAGACTTTTATCAAACAAGTGCAGATTGGGCATTGCATATTTTAGTTAGTGTAAAACATGACATTTCCTGTTGCCAGTAGGTGGCGCTATAAATTATAACTGAACATTGGCATGTAGATGTTTTCAAACATGTGATCAGATCAGACATTGTATGCCTGCGTTATAACAACTTCCTGTTTCATGACGAAACATCGAAATTTGTCAGGCCATCACGGACACGCCCTTACAACGAAAACTCAAGATCTTCGCAATTTAACATCACAAAGGGCTTTAGATTAGACTGGCCAAATTTGGTGTTGATCGGATTAAATCTCTAGGAGGAGTTTGTTAAAATACAATGCCTGAAAATGGCAAAAATGGCACAACATTTTCTGAGAAAATGCAAAATAACTTACTTCATTTTGGGTTTCGTATTTTGCTCCAAGAGACGTTTTTGTAGGTATTGGTGTGTTACATGTTTCTACAGAATTTCATACATGTATGTGAAACGTAGCTCAAGGGGCACTTCGTTGAATGTGTATAGGTGGCACTGTCAAGCCATTTTGCCACACCCACTTCTGAAACCCATTTCAAACGTAAATTTTTGCCACTTCTGGCACGTGTGCAAAATTAGTTTTCGAGCATGTTTAGGCCCTCAAAAATGCTATTTATTTTGGAGAAGAAGAAAGGGAGCAATTCCAGTAGGGTCCTCACACCGCGATGCTCTGGCCCTAATTAGAGAAATTAATCTCAAAGTAGGAAAAAGTAAGTAAAGAGACATCGAAAAGGTTTAAAGCTATTATAATTTAAAACTGTAATGATTCCTATGACATTTTTTCCTTCAAATCTCCCTACAAAATGGTTGAAGAGGACGTGTCCTGAAGGGAAGTCCACGTTGTATTGCGCATTAGTTCTTATGAATCTGTCTCTGCTCATTTCTTAATTTCAGACAGGCAGATCAAATAGTACTGTAGATTGTAGTAAGTTTCAATGCGAAACAATATCCACCTTTCTGCAAACGATGCCTGACGAAAGGTGTTCAATACATGCAAAAGCTTGTCTGTTCTGTGATGACCTAAATGACTGAGAATCTTCACAGACAAGCCAATTACATTAGTAGATCATGTCTGGACCTCATATAAATGATAAACAATGACTCTCATGTTTATTTTGCTTTACCAAGTCATAACTGCAAATCTATCTACAACTTTCCATATTTCTAATAATGGACCTTTTTCACATTTCCGGGTTTCTCAGAAGCGGAAGTCGTCATAGTTGGGTTAACTTGAAGAGCAGTGAATGGGAGAGTACCACAAATATATTTTTTGCATTCCCAATTGCTCAAATAGCAAAAGAAAAACTCCACGATAGTGTTTTCGTGACTTTCAATAAAAGGAAAAAAATGTAGAGAGACTGATAACGGCAGTAAGAAGAGAGAACATCGTCAAATTTACCATCCCTCCCATAGACGCTGCATTAGAAACACCCTCGCATTAGCGTTAACTGTTTTTTTTATAATTTGATGCAAAGGTGATATAATACAACGAATAGTGTTATAAATGTACATACATTTTAAAAAAAATACAAATATGAAAAACTTTCGATGATTTACGATGCTGATGACTGTTAAACGCGTCATCACAGCCTTGTGAAAAGGGTCCATCACCATTCTTAAAATAAATACAGCAGACGGTTTCCTGTATTGACTACTGACACTGTTTTATGCAGATCAGTTCTCACAGATGTGTCCAGCAGGCCGGGGTTACATTCCTCCTGGAGATCCTATGATTCCTACAACCAGCTTAGCAGAAAGCTTCAAAGGTATCTGTGTGTCTGTGTACTTTTAAAGGGATAGTTCACCCAAAAATCTGTCATCATTTGCATGTGGTTCCAAAAACCTGAATGACTGACTGACCTCTGTGGAACACAAAGAAGGTTTTTGTCCATGCAATGAAAGTCAGTGGGGTCCAAAACAACACCGGACCCCAATGACTTTCATTGTATGGACAAAAAAAAATGACATTGATTTCATTTTTGGATAAACTGTCCCTTTAATGTCTGGTTGTTTATGTGTTATTTTGTGCATGTGGTTTTATGTTTGAGCATTAATGTTCCTTGCACTTTTACCCCCCTGTTTTATGCACATATTTTTGACTTTGTAATGTGTGGAAGCAACCGCAAACATCGCTTAGCATCTGAGCTACATATGCTGAAACACACACACACACTCAGCAGCCTGCTTCCCAGTGTGGGGAAACCTCAGTCACAGGGCCAGTCTGATGCACTGATTTAATTTATGAATGCAGTGAGAGTGTGGTTTCTCTTTGGCTGGTGGCAGCACGAGTGAATGCGATGTGGTCGGGATGTGTGTGTGCGTACATTTGAATGGAATGCTTAAAAAAAAAGTGAAAGTGACATGGCCAAGTATGGTTACCCATACTAGGAATTAGTGCTCTGCATTTAACCCATCCTTAGTGCACACACACACACCGTGAACACACACTTTGAGCAGTGGGCAGCCATTTATGCTGCGGTGCCCGGGGAGCAGTTGGGGGTTCAGTGCCTTGCTCGAGGGCACCTCAGTCATGGTATTGAAGGTGGGAGAGAGCGCTGTACATTCACTCCCCCCACCTACAACCCTGCCAGTACGAGTCTTGAACCCACAACCTTTGGGTTACAAGTCCGACTCTCTAACCATTAGGCCAAGACTTCCCCTTATGGATGATATTTCCTCCCTGTCAGACTCCAGTCAAATTACATTTCTGCATGTAGCAGATCCCCAAATAAGAACACTAACCAGAGCAACGCATCCAGATGCATGCTGATCTGTACTGAAGGTGTGGTCCAGGGTTTCAGATTTATACTGACCTGTCTGTTTGTTCATTGATGAAATAATGAAAATGTGTTGATGTATGTGATTTGCAGACACAGATGAATGCAAACTTTTTGAAAATGAGATCTGCAAAGATGGCTTTTGTCTCAATACCCCTGGTGGGTATGAGTGTTACTGCAAGGCCGGACTCTACTATGATGAGAGCAAACTGCAGTGTGTTGGTAAGGTCCAAAATCACAATTTACATGCAATCTCCAAACAACTGTAGATTTCTATGTATTATCTGTCTTTTTTTCTTAAAGGGATAGTTCATGACGATTACCTCATGTTGTTCCAAAGTCTTCTGCAGAGCACAAAAGAAGATAGTTTAACAAAAGAAAAAAGACCCCACTGACTTCCATTGTTATGGAAAAAAGTTTTTTTTTTTTTAAATATCTTCTTTTGAGTTTCACATAAGAAATAACGTCTAACATGTTTAGAGTAACATAATGATGAAAAAATGTTTTCGACTGATTCCAAGTTATATGTGACCAGATCAGATTTTTTTTTTGTTGAGTCTGTTTCATGTCCACATTAATTGTAGTAACAAGGTAAACTTGATTCATTATGGTTCACTTTGCAGTCTTTTCAAATTCTGTATGACTTACTTTCTTCTGTGGAACATTAAATAAGAAAAATTTAGAAATGCCTCAGTATTTATTTCATAGAATGTTCTGTAAGTCAATGTTCATAAAATGTAAAACAGTTTGGTTACCAATATTCTTAAAACATCTTCTTTTATGTTCCACAAAGGAAAGAAAGGCATACAGGTTTGAAACAACATGAGGGTGAGTAAATTATGACAGAATTTACATGTTTATGGTGAACTATTAATTTAGCAACCTGTCACATAGAGAATGGCTGATCTAATCATTCAGACTAAGGCACATTAACAAAAAATAAATTTTTCATGGGATTTCAAACCATGTAAAAAGGTGTTTTGGATTTCATTCATGAGACAACTAAAAAACTTAATTAAAAAAACAGATTTTTGCTACCTGTTTTAATAAGGTGTTTAAACACACATGCACATACAGTATAATACACTGAAATACACTAAATGTAATGAAATTATTGAATATTATATTCTAATGTTTCTCATTGTGTTCAATACAATATGTGCGTATCACTGCTCTATTCTCAGATATACACAGATTAAAGCAGCTTGATGCAGTTTAATGAAATATTTTAGAAGGCACTGTTCAGAAACATAAAAAAGTTACATGAAAGTGTTTTATTTTAGTCTAAATATTCTTAGAAAGGTTAGAAAGTAATCTTAGAAGGGTTTGTTATTTATAACATCCTGCCTTAGCCATTTATTGCTTGTGATGTTTGGCCTTGAATTGTCATTGTGTTCTTTTGTCGGTTTGGAATGACAGGCTTGTGTGTGTTTTTGTGTGGGTGCATGCGACTTTACATGCCGAATAGATAGTGTGTGTGTAAGTGTTGGCCTAGTTGGGCTCACCGTAACGCCAACACATTTAAATTGGATTTAAATTTACGTTTTAAACCTGCTGCAGCTGGTGGCTCATGGCTTGTGGACATATAATGCGTGCAGCGTGATAGCAGGGTATATATGTGTGTAAGCTTGGGTCAAAGGGCTACATCTTGCAATCGGTCAGGGCGGCACAGCCGTTATGATCCAGGCCGCAGCTCCATGGTGCACCGCAGGCTGTCTGCCTGCCTAAACACACATACACACATTCACACAAACCACAGACCCACGGCAATGGAGTCTCGCCCGGCCACACTGCCTTAAAAGCTGCCACACCCGACTGCCTCACACACACACATATTCAGTCTAGCCACAATCATTTGACTTCCTACACCCACACTGACACACACACATATGAGCACCCATTCACTCTCCAAACTCAACTATGCATTTTCACACAGACACACACACACATGTTGTACAAATATGTCTCTCTGGTTTCTACATGAGTCAGTCTTTTTGACACCAGGTTCTGGAGGAGGCTGCAAACTTTACATACACACTGTGGGCTGATCTGATTTTATGTAAACAAACACATACTAAGTGCGTTTAAATTCAATTTAGTTGGACTAAAGCAATAATTTGCCACTTTAGGTCTGGTTGCGGTCTCCTTATCAGTTTAATTTTCGTAAACTAAAACTAAAATGAAAATAAAACTATTAAAATCAGTTTTGTAATTGAACACTGCAAAAAATGCTTTTCTAGCTTAGATCTTTTATCTTGTTTCCAGCCAAAATATCTAAAAATTCTTAAATCAAGAAGGATTTAAAAATAAAAATTAAAACAAAGTAAAAATTGTCTTGTTTTCAGAAAAAACAAGTCGAATTCAAGTGAGTTTTTGCTTGAAACAAGCCAAACAGAAAACAAGATTATTTTTCTTACCCCATTGGCAGATTATTTTGCTTGTTTCAAGCAAAAACTCACTTGAATTCGACTTGTTTTTTCTGAAAACAAGACAATTTTTACTTTGTTTTAATTTTTATTTTTAAATCCTTCTTGATTTAAGAGTTTTTAGATATTTTGGCTGGAAACAAGACAAAAGATCTAAGCTAGAAACGCATTTTTTGCAGTGAAGTAAAGCTAAAATAACATTAAAATATAAATATTAGATGAGAAGCTTAAATGAAAATGACAAATATCACCATCTAACTGAAATAAGTTGAAGTACTAATATTACTAAAACTGAAAAACAAAATTAATTAAATCTATATAGAAATATAAAAAAACGAATAAAAATGCAAAAGCCCATAACAAAATTATTCAAATGTAAACTAAAATTTAAAATAAAAACTGAAAATCTAAAAATATATGTTTCTAAAGAATTTATGGCAAATTGCTGAAATGGTGAATGCTAGTGAAACTGTTGTTCTTTTGGCATCTATATCGTATACTGAGAACAACTTGAACTTGCTCATTGAGTCTGTTTATTTTCTGTTTCTCTCTCTGTCTCTGTACTCTGCAGACACTGATGAATGTGTGGATGAATCGAACTGTATAGATGGTAAATGTATGAACACATATGGGTCATATCAGTGTTTCTGCACTCCGCCCCTGGTTCTCACACCTGACAGCGCACGCTGCATTTTGCCCACCATGGCAGGTAAAGTCTTACAACAGTAACTAAGTATTATGTACCTAAAAAAAAAACTACACCTCACTGCCAAATCCCTGTTCTCTAAAGCACTTCACTCCAAAAACCCATACCTTAAAGCTACTAAAATAACACTTTAAAACTCACACCCTAAACTCTAAATCCCATTGTCTAAATCAGTGTTTCCCAATCCTGGAGGCCCTCAGCACTTCACATTTTGGATGTCTCCTTTATCTAGAACACCTTATTCATCTCATAAGATCATTAGTCGAGTTCTCCATGACCTGAATCGAGTGTCAGATTAGTGAGACACCTAAATTCTGCATTGTTGGGGTTCCTCAAGGAGCTGGATTGAGAAACAATGCTCTAAATCTTTTAATCTAAACCCTACATTCTCTTAAACCTATATTCTCTCCTCTGAAACCCTGCATTTTACATTTAAAACACTACAGACTAAATGTCACACCCCTCAATGTGCTATAATCTACCTTGATCATTATTTGATAATCTCTGACCTACCTGTATATTGCTGGTCTTAATCTCAAAGCAATTCCAAATAGTGTCATACTGCCATCTAGAGTGTGGTCAAAATAAGCAGTTCTACACGTGGAATTTTTAATATTGATTTTTCACAGGTGTTGTAGGTATTTCATTGTTTTGTGTTTTAAGGACATGTCTATAAACTTAACACCAAAATGTACTGGTAAATTTCTGCAGTACAAGTTTTTCTCATATTTTTTTCCTTAACTAGCATATTTCAGTATTCTGTCATTTACATTTAGTTGACACTTACTCACCACTTAAAATGATCATTTACTGTGTTTGTGTTTTTACAGGGCAAAGAGAAACTGATGTGTACTCGGGTATTTGCTGGGAGACTGTGACGGAAAGGCTGACCTGCACAAAGCCCATTGCCAACCTACAGACCACATTCACAGAGTGCTGCTGTTTACACGGAGATGCCTGGGGCATGGATTGTGCTCTCTGCCCCCAGAAAAATACAGGTATAAATACACAACTACACAACAAAACAATCTGTTTTGTATATCTGGAGCAGCATATCAGCTTTGAAAGAAACCTTCTTTCTCTCCCTTTGGAAAGTTAATCTGTTTGGTATTGAAAATAGTTATTAGGGATACAGTTTTATCTCCAAAGTTAATTTGTATATATAATACCTCAAGACATGTGTGTTCTTTCTTAAAATTATTCTAGACTTACCACACAGATCTGGCTTCCCTGTAATTATATACTTGCACAATCTCTGAGACACAAAGAACCTGCAAACACAAAAACAGACGAAATCAATCAAAACAAAACACTTTTTTTATTCTCGTCCAGATGCCTATGCCACTATGTGTAATATTCGTCAGTTTGGTGGTCCCCGTCAGCCGTATGGTCAGGATGCTTTGGTCGCTGGCCCAGCTATTGAATACGGCCCTGAATACGACTCTCGATCTCTGAACCCTGACGGCACGCTGCCCCTCTATGAAGATTACGAAGAACCAAGAAGTGAGTACAAATTTACACCTTAAAGAACTGGTTGAAATGATTATTGTTTGCTGCCATTATTTACTCATATTCATGTTTTCAAAACCTATCTTTCTCAGATCCATATGATGCATTTGAAGGACTGCGAGCAGAGGAATGCGGTGTGCTGAACGGATGTGAGAATGGACGGTGTGTGCGGGTGCAGGAAGGATACACCTGCGACTGCTTCGATGGTTACACACTCAACATGTCCCGCATGGCCTGCGTGGGTGAGCAACAGCAGAGTATCACATGAAGGGATCAGGCTGGTTTTTCAGCATGTGGGTGGGATTAGCTCAGGTTTACATTTCAGTTTGTTTCAACTCTATAAAGAATTTTTTTTATTAATAATTAGGTGCTGTTGAGTGCAAATATCTATAAATCAACAAGTATCTGAGCTTCAGGATAAATAAAATAAAAATCTAAAAATAGAATAAAAATGAGTTTTAAAAAATCATCATTAGTATGTAGAGTTATTTTATATGTGATTGGATTTATTTCGTGTATGTTATTAGGGCATGAAACCTCTAAAGGTTGGAAGTGATTCAAAACCTTGTCTGTAATGTAACTTCAAAATTCTGGGTGTGTTTTTCTTACATTGTCACGGATTGTGATTATCACGACTAACCTCCTGAAATGAGGCATGACTGAGCAGATGATATACACCCAGGCACAGAGTGGCTATTAGGGTTTGAAACGAGAAGTGGTTCTTATTCAGAACCAGTATTAATTTTTCTTTTTATAATAGAACCAAATGACATTCGGTCATGTTAATGGTTCTTGCACATGTAGTCAGAGGCGGACTTACCCATTAGGCAAAGGTAAGCGACCGCCTTGGGCCCCCAAAAGCCAAGGGCCCCCTAAAATGCTTTTCATATTCAAGATGTGCATTAAGCGCGGACATGTGAACGGTTGCTGTTCACGGTTTTTATTACCATGACAAATATCTGCGTGTGTGAGTTGAATGTGCTTCTAGTGTATACTGCTTGTAACAAATGAAAATATCATGCATCTGAGGCTGTAATTAAATATTGAGCAACAGTGCGTATTAAATGTTTATCGTTTTAAATGCGATACATTTTTCAAATTTATATGAATGAATCTCTGTAGGGAACCGACTGTCTTCAGAAAAGTTTTCATTTGATCTGATAAAGCAGCTTTTATGAATGCAGCGCTGCTTTGCTTACAGCCGTTACCGGGAAAACCGCTATATTTCTGCTGCTCCAAAAGCGCCTTCTGCTGGCAGAGAATGAATGTGCATTTTCAATAATCCCATCTGCAGTTTTTGTTCAGACCGATGCGAAAATCCACCCACATAACCCCATTTTTAATCATTATAATAATTTAAACTTCTGACTCATCCCTTTTCTTTAAAAAAAATGGTTTAAAGGCTCAGTTGTGAGGTTTATAATTTTATAATTTATTTTGTTTTTGTGAAAACCTGTATCTCAACTGTAAATCAATTGCTATTTTGTGGTCTAAAACATGAAAGAAAGCCATTATAACATGTAGATGAAAAATGTAGAAAAATTGGACACAACTATGGGGCACCATTGAGTAGCAGCATCACAACAAAAAAGGAACCTCAAGGTTGTTCTAGGTAAAGGTGTGCAAATGTATAGGGCCCCATTCCTACATTTTGCCTGGGGCCCCCAATTCACTAAATCCGCCTCTGCATGGATTTGTCCACCAACATCTTCTTTTCCTTTCGGCTGTTCCCTTCAGGGGTCGCCACAGCGAATCATCTGCCTCCATCTAGCCCTATGTCACCAACATTTGTCCACCAACATACCATACTAAAATACTTTTGACAGAGTTCTTAGCAGTAGGCTTATTCCATGACACCGCAACACTGTGACAGAATCAACAGCGTGAAACAGACACTTGAGACTAGTGTAGTCCGATTCTCGAACAAATTACTCTTTTAGTCAGTAATTTTTGTGAATCAAAAACAAACCCAGCAATCAGCATAGTCCAATTCACAAACAAATGTCTCTGAGTCGGTTATTTTTTCTCAATCAAAACACTGCGCAGCCTAAGCTGTTTTATGAGTTGGATTTATGAGTCATGTTTTTGTGTGTGTGTGTGTGTGTGTGTGAATCAAAGCTAGTGTAGTCCCATTCCCAAATGAGTGACTCTATGAATTGGTTATTTTTAGTCAATCAAAAACATTCAACCAGTGTATTCCAATTCTCAAACTAATGACTCTTTTGGATGGTTCTTTTTAGTGAATCAAAAACATTCCATGAAACCAGAGTAGTATGATTTTCAAACCGTAAGAGTCAGTTATTTTTAGTGAATTAACAACATACCACACAACCAGAGCATTCTGATTCCTGAATTGACTTGGTTCTTTTTACTGAATATAAAACATACTCTGCAACCAATGTAGTCCAGTAACAGTATAAATGACTCGTATGAATCTGTTCTTTTTAGTCAATCAGAAACATAACGCACAACCAGTGTAGTGCAGTTTTTAGTGAATCAAAAACATTGTACAACCAGTGTTATCTGATTCCTTGATTTTTTTTTTTGTGAAACAAAAACCATGAGGCTTATATCAGTGTCCGGTAGTTTCTGCCTGGTTTATATGACAACCTGTAGTTAAAGAGTTTGTTGAGTAGTATTTTATAAAAATAAATGAATGAAATGTTACCACATTTTTGTTTGTTTAGTGTCGTTGTTTAATTCCAATTATTGGGTTGCACTTATGCCTAAAAAGACACTAAAAAGTCATTAAAAAGAGTGCACATTGTGCTTTAGCAAAGAAATTACTTTTCTTTTTTAACAAATATTTATTACTCTATCTGCTAAAAGAATCATTATTCAAATTGTTAATGGTAAAGCTGTGTCCCAAACAAGACACATGTAACAAAACGATCTACTTTCTGACACCGTTTGTTTTGTGTTCCAGATATCAATGAATGCTCAGAGCTGAATACAAAGATGTCTCTTTGCAAGAACGGCAAGTGCATCAACACGGAAGGCTCATATAAGTGTGTGTGTCTGGCAGGGTTTGTCCACTCCGCCCAGCACAACTACTGTGTGCCCCAAAGACAGAATGTAACCAGCACGAGCACGAAGTGACCAGCAGGGGGCACAAGATACACTAAAACCACTCTTATTTAATCAAGGCCCATATACTCTGCACTGTATAGAACAAACACCCAAAAACGAACCTAGAAAAAAAATCCTACTTGAGATGAAGAGTTTAATGTGCTATCTTATGGTGTCTATGAGATAACTGTATAAAATATTTGTTTTATTGATCTATGTAAGTTTATTATTTTTACTGTATTATGAAGTAGAAAGACTTTTTTGGTGTGAACATAGCAGAGGTGATATTTCAGCAAACTGACAAACCCTATGACCTTAAGCTGGGGGACTGCTTTATTTTACCCAGTCAGAGACATCGAGCGTGTGGATAATTTACTAATGCAAAAGCCAGACTCTCTCCTTATTTTTATTTTAGTCCCTTCTTTCATTCTGTTTCAAATTCATTTATTGGCTGATTTTTCTTTATCTCTCTCTTTACTTTTCTATTCATATTTCACATTTTTTCTTAAGGTCTTAGTGAGGCAGACCACATTACAAACACACCAACCTGCAATACATAGATTCATAGGAAACATACACAGCACAAAATGTTTTCAGTGTCAAGTCTTTAAAATAAGCTTTTTATATGAGCTGCTTTGTATTAATGACAGACACCAGCTACTTCTCTGTGTCTGGGACATTAGTCCACTGCGGATGTCTGCCCTGTGGAGCAGGCATGACCTTTAACCTCACCTTTCTTCTAGAAATTATTATTATTATTATTATGTTTCTTTGAAAAGAAAATAATAAAAATGAAGTGCCTTTATGTATTTTTTTTTTCAGATGTTTTTTAACAGAAATCTTTTACTGCATTTGATAGAGTTGGCGAAATGTCTTGCCAGGTTGCAAAGCTGCTATTAAACAGCCATGGGATTTTTTTTTTCACTCTTTTCCGGTTTCCTTTTTTTTTTGTACATTTAAACTGAAGAGTTGATTAGAACTATGTATTTGTAATTTGTACATTAATAAATACCTTCTGAATATCCATATAATGTATTAAAAGTCTTTAAATAAATCAGAGATAGTGATGTTTATACACATTTATCTGTGTTGTCCACATTTAAATATCAGTGCTTCTAAGCTGGCTCATGACCAAAAATGGGTTGTCTGTCGCAGACAGAAAAGAAAAAACAATGTTTAATACAACTGATGGAGTCTGACACACCACAGAATAACATTACATCACCTTAAATAATAGAAAATAATAGTTTGAAATAACAAATACAGTAGATGTACACTACATTGTTATATCTCCACAATGGTTCCATAGAAAGCATGTCCTTTGTCTCACCTGTTTATCTCGAGCCATGATCTTGTGTGAGAAGTCAGGTGATTTATTAGTCACATCAATTGTTTTTCAAAGAGAAGCCAATGGCCCAAACTTAACTTATGGCTTTCATATCAAAAGGGCTGTAATGAATTATTATTCTACGGCTCTCTGGAATACTGCATTCAGGTTGGTAAATCGCGGCATCCAGAGGTCTGCTGATATTTCTTAATATTCCTCGCAGTCGATGGTTAGGCTGTATAGAGGATTGCTCATCCGGGTAAGTGAAACCAACGCTACTTTCATTTGTCTTGTATCACATTGGATTGTAGTAAAATTACTTCAGGATTACTCAGGAGGAATATACTTCAGGAGGCAGGATTTCTAAAGCTGAAGTACTTGATTTCTGCTCGATTATTGCCAACGAACGGAACTGAAAATATAAACAATTTCCACAAACAGGCCTCATCAGCCATTGGTCGAACAAACAGATAACCTAGCCCACGCCATTGGTCAAGTAAATAGTGTTTATGTCACAGCAGAAGAGACATTTTTACAGTTTTCTGGAAAGTTAACTTAAAGGGGTCATAGGATGCTACATGCACTTTTACAAGTATTTTGAACTGAAATGTGTTTTGGCAGTGTGTGTACACAACCCCCCTAAAATGATAAAAATCCACCCCATGTTTTTTTTTTTTATCTTGTTAAATGTTTTCCTCTTTCTCAAATCGAGCCGATCTCGGATGCCTGTCTGTGTGACGTCACACAGACAGGCCCCTCCCATGAGTTTGATTGACAGTAGCGTTTTAGCACAGACTGGACTGGTGTCTTACCTCAGACCCGCCCTGAGTGAGCTGTCATCAGCCCGCCATCATTTCACCGCTGGAGCAGATGTAGACAAGAATGACTCCTAACAAGCGATTGAGGTGTTCTGTTGTTGGATGTAATAATGAACATAGCAGTCGTCATTTACTCAGCCGCTGAACTCGCAGTGGATTACATTGTTTCTGAAGGGAATGCGCCTCTCCGATCCACATAAATATGTCTATGTTCTACAGAAGAAGTGAGTATAATGTTTTGTAATGAATGTTTGCACATCGCCTTTCCTAATAATGTGCTAATTAGCAAGTTTCACGATGAATGCGCTAAAGTAAACAGTCTCTCTGAGAGCAGCTCGGGAGAGGCGGGGTCAGCAGAGCTCATTAACATTTAAAGGGAAATGCTATAAAAACGGCTTGATCTGAAAAGAGCTGTTTTTGACAGGGTAAAAAAAGGTGTTTTTACACTACCATTGAGGAATTTTAACCAAACTATGTTACAAACTTTTCATTAAGACCCTAAAGAATCATATCAACTTGTGGAAAATTGGCATCATATACCCCTTTAAGAATGGCTTGCTTATAGTTGTCAATCCATATAAATCTGCAAAAAGATTAAGTATTTTACCACCAAAATCATTATACTTTGAATTTTATATTACCGTAAAATTGTTGCCATGTTGGTCTTGTTCCTATGCCGATTGTTTTGTACACTTTAATGGATCATGAAATCAATATTTAATGTCCAAAGATCTATTTTCATGTCTTATGCTTTATTATCATTTCTTTTCTCAATTTGTCTAAATATTTTCTCAAAGCACACAAAACCAAGGCAGTGAACTGACCTGAGAGGGTAATTAGAAATCGTCTAACAAAACAGGTGAGCTGAGATAAACCATTTATTCATTTTGTGCATAATACTATGGAATATGAGGAGGGGGAAGAAAGATACAGAATGATTGATTGATGGAGCGAAAAGAGACAGAGCGAAGGGAAGTGAGGGGTGGGACTGAGTGGAAGTGAAGGGGGAGGGCCAGAGAAAGCAAAGGGAGGAGAGTGGCAGCATGCATCTGTGTGGAGTCAGTATCACATGCTTGGCTCTTGCACACCACACTGTTGTTGATTGTACTTTCTTTCTTTCTTGTTAAGGGAGGCATGAATTTGTAGAGAGATATGCTGCATGATTCACACCTATGCTGAGTCAAAAGAGCTCGAGTGTTCTGCACAGGCAGGTAAGATCTCTTTCATTTGATTTCATAACAGACTGTCACTCCTTTTTAAGCCAGTGGTTCAACACAAACTAATGCTAAACTGTGGTGTGTTGAACATTAGTTTGGTTTGATTTTGCGTTTCACATACTCTGAACAATCAAAATGTGTGTGGTCTATAGTCAGATGGTGTTACTGTGATCATCTGAAGAGTCCAGAAGGCCATTTTACACTCTCAATGCAAACATGTTGCAGCCAGATAGATTTGACAGAGAAATTCCAAGGTCAAGAACTTTTCTGGTGGTGTATCATGTTTTGTTGTCTGTTGTGCTGTGTCGTGTGATAATCGGAGCCAGTGAGGGAAACACTGATATTAATTTGTCAGCCCTGATGATCACAGGGCTCTTGGTCAGTGTCTGTTAGTAGATAGTAGGTCAGTCTGACCATCATGTCGTGCAGAGAGTGTGTGTATTGTATACAGTTGTGATTTTGTGCATGCATTCTTTTAAATTTGTTTGTATGTACATAGCAATATGTTTTGGGACAAAAGTTTTGGTGATGAGGTTTTTCTTTAAATAGGGGATAAGATTTTCATTTAAATAAATAATGTAAAAATTATTAACATTGCATATTAATTGTGTGTATGTATATGTGTGTATATATATATTTTTTTTATTAAAATTTTTTTTTTTTAAAGCAAAATCATTTATTTTAGGGTTACAGTTTGGGTTAGTCTGTAGTAATTATAATTCGCTTATATTAACATGTCTGTAACAGTGTAGCTCCTTAACACATATTTATTTAAATTCATTGATGTGTATGATGTGTATTAACATATACACTATTTCCTGCATAGCATTAGGGTAACATAATGCTGATTTTAATCAGTTCACATTGCAGCCTGCTCAGGTGTTGTATTGCAAATGTTGTTGTAATTTCAACTTTTGTTCATAAGTCACAGGGACAATCGTTGCCCAAGGACATCTACGTTCTCTCTGAATCCCACTCACATACTGTACATGGGCACACGCTGACTCTTTCTTTCCAACACATGTTTTCTCTCTTTCAGTTTATCTCAGTAGCTCAATCTCACTGGTTTTATTAACCATGTCCGTGTTTCACGTTAATGCATTAATAGAAATATCACAGTTATTCATCATCATTTCATCAAGTTTTCCATAAAGCAAATGGCTGAGAAGCGGTCATGTATATCGCAACATTAACATGTGGCTTGCAAGCACCCTATCTGGAGTTGGTGTCATCTCTAAATAAGCATCTCTAAATAGCTCTTGTATGTATTCCTGTGCAGTAATTTGTCATATATGCACACGTGAACATCAAAATTTGAACTACATGATGTTGAATTACTGTTGTACAGTAGCTTCTCTCTTTGAATGAATGACTATATTTGACAAATAAGCAGTTTTGTGTTAGCTGAATTTGACATTCAGGGACTCATTAAAGGTTTAAATGATGAAGTACATCATTATTTTTAATATGGTTAAAAATAAATAATGTTGTACTTTATGATTATAATTAACATACAGTTAATAACTTTCTATAAAAACAACAGAAGTCAGCATTTAGATGACTTGGTAATAAAGGTGCAAATAATAACCTTCTCTAGTCTTTTTTTTCATCTCTTTGCTCAGTGTGCTGATAATCTGTGGGTCGGATCAGCGGATAGTAATATTTAAGCCCTGTTAACACACTAGCGCTCATGTATTTGCTGAACACACACTCATTCACAGAGTTGTTGTTTCTGCAGTTACACAGAGTCTATGATGGCAAGTGTAGGCAGGTGTCTGTAACATGGATGGTTCTTCCTCACTGTCTCACTCCACTCAATTGATTTTTTTCATAGTGCCTTTTTACCTGCTGTTTCTATTTTTAAACCATCTTTCTCTTATCAGTGTTATTTGCAGTACAGTCGTGAGCCAGTAAAATGGCAGGCTATTTATAGAGCAAGAGTGTCAATGTGTTTTTGCCCTGCTGCGTATGTGATTGCATGTCTATCTTCTGTCCATATCAGAGTGATTCTATAACTAGCTTTGCGAAAGTATATTCACAAAGTTTTTCTTTGCTGATCTGGCCAATACATGCGTTGTTAAGTGAGCTCACAGTGGCTCGGCTGTACTTGTTTTCTCTTCTAAGGACTAAATGTGACCGCTGAACACATTTCTAGTTTACTGTTGATTACATTTATGTCCCTTTGATGAATTTTAAAAATAAAAAAATACTTCTTTATTGATTAAAGGAATGGTTGACCAAAAACATAGCTGAAATTATACTCACCCTTAGGCCATCCAGGATGTAGAATTTGTTTCTTCATCTGAACAGATTTGTATAAATTTACCACTGAATCACTTGCTCACCAATGATCCAGATATAGTGAATGAGTGCTGTCAGAATGAGAGTCCAGATAGCCACAGATCCACATGACTCCAGTCCATCAATTAACATCTTGTGAAGTTTGTAAGAAATAAATTCATCATTAAGCCGTTTTAACTATAAACCGTTGCTTCAGTCTATAATCCATAATAACTCTTTCTCCAGTAAAAAAAAATCCATTCCCTGTTGTCCTCTCACATCAAAATCCACCAACATATTTGTTTATAAATGTTTTCGCTTTTAAACAGTGCTTGATCTGTGCATATTTCTCCCCTGATTCAGACAAGATAGCAATATTTTGAATAGAGGACTTGTATTTTAGCAGGAAGCAATGGTTTGAAGTTAAAATTGTCTTGATGGATTTGTTTAATACAAACACGCAGCTTTCCACTTTACAAGATGTTAATTTAGGACTAGGATTCATGCTTTTTTTATCAGCTGTTTGGACTCTCATTCTGATGGCACCCATTCACTGCAGAGGATCCATTGGTGAGCAAGTGATGTAATGCATGCTAAATTTATGCAAATCTGTTCCATTTTTAGGTGAACTATTCCTTTAAAGTCTGTTTGAATTGCCATTTGTAACCCATTTTATTTCAGTAATTTGACATATTTCTTCTTTTTGGCAAGAAAGAAATGTAATGACTTGATTTTATCCATAAGGAATTTATATGATAGGTAAAAGTGGATTGAAGCCAGACTGTATTCAAGTTTGCTAAAACGGACCAATTTGGCTATTGATTAAAATTATCCAGTAGCCGTACAACCTATGTGATGTCCGCAGAAAAAGGAAAATTGTTTCATTGAAGGAAGTTATTATATTTTGATTTAAAATGGTGAAGACAAACGATTTTTTCTTTGGAACGGCATGCACCAATGAATTGTTCACAATATGAGGAAATAGTGTCAATTTCCTCAATCTTCCACTTTCTAGTCTTCCTCTTTCTAACAAGAAATCAGGTACAGAAATTCACACACTTTCAACAATTGAACCAGATGGCAGTGAATTTCAGCAAAAAGCACTTAACTCTTATCAGAAGTCTTTCCTGTCCTGCTGACCTCATATCAGAAAACATTTTGAATACATTATCTTAGATCAGTCTTTCAGTAGCTCCTGTTCTCTGTTTCAGCTGTCCCCGATTCAGTCAAAATTACTGCCTGTGTCATTCAGTAATGCAGTGTTATATTGCTGTAAAGTACACCTGTAACATTTCCTCATATTCAAACAGCATGCATGAATTCACTCAGTCACACATTATCTACAGCGTTCATGACGGCCACAAAATGTCACACAGCCTAAACACAATCTACCTCCGTGAAAAGACACAAGTAAAGTTTCTACAAGACGTAATATTACCCAAGACTTTCATAGCATTGGAGAAAAGTTACATAGAGGTGTTTTGTAAGTGTGAAGCCTGGATAAATGTGTTAGTCATGATTACAGAACAAAACAATCTGCCACTGAGCAGTTCAACATTTCAGTTAGACGTTTCAAGGAATTTCTAAGAATGTTTCTGCGAAATCCAAGTAAATGTTTGGTAAATGGGATTCTTAGACAAGGGAGTCATGGTTTCATCAAAGATATGACCTCAAATCTTCCTCAGCTTTTCATGTGACACAAACCTCAGCCACATAACAATCAGTGAAAGAGGCAGTACACTTAAATATAAATATAAATCAGTCTTTTCACTGATTCTGAAACAGCTTTTTCAGAAGGGGGATGGAATGTCTACTTTATGAAGAGGTTTCATACATTTTGTTCTTGTCTACTGTCAAAGCACACATCAGTAACAATAGCCCAATGCTAATGTTCCATAGCTGTGAGAGTGTGAAACAAACTGTGTTGGCGGAGCAGGATCTGTGCTCATTGTTTGTGTTTAGCTGGTTCTTTTTTAGACTCGATGAGACGAAACAAGATGGTCTGCATCCCCTTTGAATGAACAGGAAGGAGGACAGAAAAACAGCTGCTAGTGTCACACGCACACACAATGCACATACACGCTAAGAGAAAAGAGAGAGGAAGGACAAGGGTCCTTCAATGTTTCCATGGCCTACTTCGTCATATAATGATGATTCACTGAACTGTCCATGTTTTATCATTTGAAATCAGTGGTGTGTTCTGCCAAAATGTTGGAATTCATGCTGGAGTACAATCGGTTTAAAAACGCTCACAGATTAAATTGATTACTAACACAACTGTACCAACAAGTCCACCTCCAAATGTACTACCGGGTTGCTCTTACATAGCAATAATACAATATTTAGTGAAGTTATCAGATATGATTCATAAATGTCAACTTTGTCTCAAATGTTTCAACTAAAATACCCTTTAGGTTAAAAACAGAAACAAATTTGTTGATATACAGTAAAGGTTTTGAGTGCTAAAATGCATGCGATTTATGATATCAAAGCCCAAATCTTGTGGTTTTCAAAGAATTTGTTGAGAAATGTGTGGGTTCATATCAAAATCGTTGACTTTTGATTGCAAACTTGAGCAAATCTGAGTGCAGTAAACTTCCAGTAATTTGACAAGTCTCTTCTAGAGTCTTGCTTTCTTTGATTTATTTGATGCCTATGAAGACATTAAAGACAATCACTAGTTAACTATTGTAATTTGTCTTGGACATATTCTT